TCCACTGGTAACAAAAAGACAAACAAAAAATGCAACTGTGTAAATTGTCATTTAAGAAAGTGGGAAAGTGGTATTGTTTGTTCATAATAATAATTTTCTTGAGTGGCAAAGCTCTACAAACTGAGAAGTTGTTGAAAAAAAGTAGTCGAGTTTTGGGGTAATTTGCCTGTGATGGTAGTGGGAAGCTGACAGCTGCTGTGCTGTGCAGGAAGTGGTCATGTCTTGTACATGTATCAGCAGTCTAGACAAGAGCACTATATTGCAGGCAGCACATAGAAAAGACTGAGATAGGGAGACAACAGGACAGGCTACACACTGGTACCAGTGTGTAGCCTACAGATTGCATCTACAGGAAACTGGTAATGTGATAATCGCCTCAGAGCATTTTAAAATGGACAACACCCCAGATGTGCTTATAGAGGCCTTGTTATATAAGTTTGGATGTTCCAAGGTTTGACTTCTCCTTCTGACTGAATGCACTGAACATTCGGGCTGAAAGATTAATTACAATTAGCAAAATGGAAAACCCTGTGTTTTTTTTTTGTGTGGTTTTTTTTTTTTTTTTTTTTTTTTTTTTGAAGTACCATAATTTCTTCTACAAATAACAAAATATCCTGTCTTATTCTGCATAAAACTGCCAACCCTGGTCTCAACATTACCAAATAATATGCTTTATATACTGTATATGTTTTTTATCAACATGTTTATTGCCTGAATAAATGTGTAGTGTCCCTGGCTACCCTTTTTCTAAATGTGCCAGTTTGTCTGATTCATCATAGTGACCATCTGGATCTCTGCCGTGGCTCTTGGTGAAAAAATAAATAAATAAATTGGGGCACCCCTGGTACATAGCTTTGTAGTTTAATGTATTCAGTGTGCATGAGAAGCAAACAGTTTAAATTACATTATTAGGTTATTGGATTTCATTGGCATTGTACAAAATATAACAAAATTTTGATGGAGCAAAACAGCAGCAGTTTCTAAAATTAGTGCAATTAATAAATATGAAAACATTTTAAAAATTAACCCAATGATGATCGAACTGGTCTAGAGGTATTGAAAAATGAGTCAAACGTAGTGGAAATCTTTTTTATAGGGACAATAACATTCCGCCCAGCCTGTAATTTAGTCTGTTTGAGTAAAATTTTTGTTTAGTTTTTGAGTAACTATAATTTAACTAACATACAGAAACCACAGTGTTTGTGTGAGTTTCTTCCACACTGTCTACATTCTAACCCACTTCTCACGGGTTTGTGGTTGACGCAGGATTTGTTTAGCAGGCTTCAAAGTGTGGAATTTAGAAAAGTAAAGTGCAACAGACCTGAGTCGAAGAAGTGCTTCTCTTTGAAACCAGCGTCTTAACCCCACGACCTCTGGCCCTTGAGCCAAACGCCTCTTACGTAACAGGCTTTAGTCTGCTGGACATTCCCCTGGACTCAGACACAGCCAGGACACCACATTAAGCTCAGTTTGAGGTGAAAGAACTGCTTCAACTTTGCTTAAAAATGTAGTCATTATTTGAAGGGATAATATTCAGAGACTTTCAAGTGACACAAAGGTGCATTGTGTAGCTTTTGTGGTCGCTGGTCCATCAAATGATTTTCTCTGTGGATATGTTTTTGCCTTGTCTGAAATGTTTCACAGGATGGTATTAAACCTTCATGGAGGCCAAACCTGATCAGATCTGCGGTGAGGCAATGGCACTCACAGTCAGAATGCCTGTTTTTAGGCATTTTTGAGCTATAAAATGACCTGCAATTGAGTAAATGTAAGTTAGAGCTGTTTATTGTCATACTGTGGAACATTCCAAGCAGAGAAATGGCATATCCAGGGAAAACAAGCAGGTGACACACCTCCAACCTAGAAGTTAGTGCACCTTTAAGCTCATAAAACAGATATCTGCGGCTCCTGATCTCAACCATTTATTAAGTTCCACCAAAAATGTTGCTTAGAATTAATAGTTTAAACAAATTCAAAAAGTTCCACACCAGTAAAAAGTCCCAATGAGAAATACCAACCCCCCAAAATCTATTGTTGCATTTATCATATTGAATGATAAGTCAATACAGGCCTACTTTAGTTTGGACCTCTCTTCAGCCCTAGAAGGATTCTCTATGCTTGAACAACCTGTTAGTTCAGACCAGACATGCAGTCGGCTGTAAAAGTTACATTGCTGTCTAAATATGTCCTCCAGTCTCAAAACAAGGTGCTGGTATGTGTCAAAGTGGGAACACTGTCTAAATGTGTTATGTGGTGAGTAAGCCAAGTGTAAAGTGCCAAGTGTATGCAAATTCTAAGAAGATAGCATTTCTGTGTTACTTTGCCCTGTTACATAAAAAGCATAATAGCGGAATGATACATTATATAATTAAAAGGCCCACATTACACTGTTTTCTGATCTATGTAACAATGTTGTTTCCTCATCAAAAAGATACCTGGAGTGTTGTTTCATTCACACATGTTTAACACAGTTAAACACACTAAACACTCTAAATCAGAAAAAACTCTGTTCTACCTTGTGATGTCATGTAGTAATACAGGAAGAGCTCCACAGTTTTTTTAAACTCCATACACCTTCACTAGAATCATTTGGATAATTTCAGCTCTGGAATTGCATGTCTTTACTGAACAAAAGGTAAAAGGCAGGTGTTAACTTGGAAACTACCACTACATCACAAGGTGGAATAAAGTATTTTGAGCTTTGAAGATGTAGACAGGATAATGATAAGAGATTATTCAAACATGTGTGAATGAAACAAAACACAACCCAAGGTTTGCTTTTGAGGTGGTAAAAATGTTCAAACATGGCTAAAAGCTCTCAAGGCTCAATTTTGCTTCATGAATTAAACTAGAGATGCTTTATAATCTTAACAGGCTTGTTACATAGAATGTAAATAAAATGCACTTTATATAATGAGAATGTAGTTACCTATTATTATATTACACTTGCACCACAATAAAAATAAATATAGGAGCAGAGATGAACAAATGATGAAGAACAGAAGATACTAAAATGGGAAGTATTGAAGGGAAAGAAAAAACATGGCCTTAAAAATGGAAATAGGACGTTTTCTGCAGCTGCTAAATGGTAACGTACTACAACACCTGAATCCAAATTAAGTCTATAGCATTCATTAATAAAATTTAAATTACCTTATGAAATGATAAGGCGTCTAAAGGCGTATAAAGCATCAGTTACTAATAAAAATAATTGAATTGCTATGTTCATCAAAGGCTGTGTTCATACTTGGTCCTGGTTTAGTCGTCTTTTAGTCCTAGTTTGGCCTTGGCTTAGTCCTGGTTTAGTCTTGGTTTGGTCCTGATCTGGGCCTGATCTTGTCCTGGCTTAGGCCTGATCTTGTCCTTGTTTACTCTTGGTTTTGTTCCAGTTTGGTTATGGTCTGGTCCTGGTTTGGTCCTGATTAAGATCTGATGTAGACTTGGTTTGGTCCTGCTTCAGTCTTGCTCTAGCCCAGACAGAGCTGCAGGTTTGGTCCTTGTTTATTCATCCATGGTTATATACAATATGTGCAATGCTGATAATGAATATATTGACTACTTTTCCTTCAATACATGATAGATGGAACAATTATTTTGCAGGGTTAATATTTGTCATCATTGCTGTTTCTTTGTTTAACTTCTTCTGTACTAGGGTAAGATTTGAGCTGAACAGGGGTGAATAAATAACTTCTGACTCAAGCGTTTTAATTATTTATTGCAGTTCATTTTCATTAACAATGCTGGACATATCATTTTTTTGTGGGGAAAGTCTGCTTTAGGGTTATTGTGTCAGTGTCATAATGGCATTCAGTATTGTTTTATCATCTTCATTTTCTTCAGAAATATTTTGAACTTTAAAATGTGTTTTCGTGACAGGTCTAAATGCCGTGGTAAGTGCAATGATGTAAACCGGATGCCCTACAGATTATTAGTGTAGTGACATGTATTAAATCCGTGTTGAGAGAAGAGTGAACCTGTTATTTAAGTTTGATGATAGAGCTCCAGACAGGATGAAATACTGGAGATGAGTAGGACTGCTGTGTGACGACATTTGCTTTCTTTAAAGCAGCTGTCATTATGTCAAAGTTTAAATTACTTTGTGGATATCATTTGCAATGTTATGAATATTAATAGCACTATTAACAGGAAAATGTGTTTAAATGTCTGCACTTTTTTTCTAAAACATTACATCCAAAACAGCAGAAATGGCTGTGAATTAGCTTTTTGTATGTTTTGGTATTTATTAAACTCATGATTTACAAGTTGTTTCCTATTAGCTTTTTCTTCATAAATAGTTGTTTTTACATGAACTCCTGTGCAGTCTTTTGAGCTTTGGTTCAGATACATAGAGATATGTCAAATGAAGAGAAAAGGTAGAACGTGTCACTGGGTCATACAAAAGTTTAAAAACAGTACAGGTGCTCATAGAATTATGTACTTGTTTTGAGAGCATTTGCCATGCCCCTTTTTAGTCGACTAATCGATCAGCAGGACATGACTTTAGTTAACCAAAATTTTGCCCTAGTGCCCATCCAAAGCGTTTGTGTTTAAGAGGCTGATTTGACCATCTTTCGTACTCAAAAATTGTATTGAGTAAAAGGTTTTTAAATAAGTGCCACCAATTGCCACTGCATTAAATGAGAAATCTATGGGAAGCCTTGTTATAGCAGGGAAACCCTGTTATAGCTAAATCAATTATATTTTGACATGTCTAGTACTGTAGTAAGCCCTGCCTGTACACTGCACCAGTCTGGTCTGGCATAGCTACACTGTGTTGCTAAAACCCCAGAGCTGGATTCGCATGTCGGGGCAGAAGGCACCTGATCCGCTCCCTGGGGTGCCCCAGACAGATGGAGTGAACAGAGACAAGGAGGAAGGCATAGATCATATTAACAATACTGAAAGGTGAAAATGGGGCAGGATGGATAATGATCTTATCATGGAGTTTATATGTGTTATGTGTTTGTTTTTGTTTTAAAATATCGACTTCTGTTTTGCAGGACTCCAGAAGCAGCACAGAAGAGAAGCCTGTCCAGAGATCCAAGGTAGGTTCAGTGTCAGTCATGCTACTCTTGATTCTTAATATACATGGTGCCTTCCTCTTTTTAATATGAATCTAATGAACATCAGGCTGCATAATTTATGAAAATATAATCAATATTGGAATTAGCTAATTGCAAAGGTGCAATCATTTAGCCTATATGGTTATCATAATATCCTGTCTCTAGACGTGTCTGGCTAAAAGTTTCTAAAAGTATCAGACGTTAGTGCTCTTGGATAAGTTTTAAAATGTCCACAGAATTGATTTGTAATCGGAATCCTGATGTGAAAACATAAATCCAAATGTGATGAAGCACAATTTGTTTTTCTCATAAATTGTGAAGCCCTTAAAATTAACCTGATTAATGTAAAAAAAAGTATCAATACGATACTTGATGTCATAAATATTTCCTGGGGGTGTGATGCTAACTGTAGGCTCTACTCTGTCTTAAGCTCTGTTACTCAAATTAGACTTTAATCTGATCTTTATTTTAATACAATGTGACGAGAAAGAGCTGGTTTAGTTGGAACTACAACAGGTGAGATGAAATGTGCGCTTAAACTACCCTCTCACATATAAAATTACAGTCACAAGCTAGCATTAGCCAACAATTTTTCAGTTTGTCACTCTAACCTTTGTTGTTGCAAATAAAACAAACAGGACCATGAGTACTCATATTGATCACATGAAATGAAAATGTGTTCTTTAAAACATTTTTTTTTTTTTTTTTCTTGAGTTTTCTTTAAAAAATTTTGACATTATGGTTTTATTTTCAGTCTTTTAGCTTCAAGACTCCAAATGAAGTGTGTGCGGCGTGTGAGAAGACTGTGTACCCGATGGAAAGACTGGCAGCAAACAACCAGATCTTCCATTCGAGATGTTTCTGCTGTCTGCAGTGCAACACCAAACTGAGGTGAGTGAGTGAGCAGGGGGCACAACTACAGGGCACAGGAATACCACTGCTGCACAGAGCACGGCCCGTGTGTCCTTGAGCAAGACACTTCACCCATTTTGCCAATAATAGAGACCTCCACACTAAAAATAACAAGGATAAGGAGTGCGGCTGCATGGGTCCATAGAAATTTTAAATATTTTCAAAAAGATTTCCCAAAAATAGATGCTCAAGAGAATGGGGTGGTTTTGGGTATAATGTTTACCTTTTTGGTGTTAAATATTCCGAAAGACAAAAAGTAAGTAAATGATGTCATTGTCAAATCTATTTATAAAGCACATTTAAAACAACCACAGGTGACCGAAGGGCTGTACAGTTACGTGTATGCATAAGACAATGTAATAGTAAAAATGCACAAAAAATGCAGTACAGTATTAAAGTGATGTGGTTTAATCACTGGCTTGTCTTAGAGCAAGGCACTTTCTCCACATTGCCACTTCTTTATACAGTCTATGCCTGAAACCCATGAATACTGGCTGCCATGTCCCCTCAGTTTGCCCCAGGGCATTTGTGACTGCAGGCTGCTTAACACGACCAATGGTCTTTCCTCAGAAACAATATTTACTATTTTCTTTATCATGATTTTACATCCATACTTGCATTAAAAAGTGTTACTTTTTGAATCAAACTCTACATCTCAGGTAAAATAATAATAATATTGCTGTTTCTTGTTTTTTTAAGCCTCGGGAACTACACTGCTCTCCAGGGTAAATTTTACTGCAAAGCCCATTACCAGCAGCTGTTCAAGAGCAAAGGAAACTACGATGAGGGCTTTGGGCGTAAACAGTACAAAGAGCGCTGGGCCAACAAGGATTCAGAAACCATAACAAAGTCTCCATAAAGTTGTCCTCCCCTGTCCCATCCAGGCCTTACCTCCTATGGTCCGAACACACGCCTCATGCCGGGGTGCTCTGAAATAACCCACACGCGCTTTCTAAATGCCATTTGATCAGAAAAACAGGTCAAACACAATCAAGCAAAAAAAATGCATGAGTGTTTAGTTATTTTATTTTACTTTGTGACCAAAAGTCTTCTCTGGTTAGGGGAGTATAATTTTAAATGTTTTGTTTTTTTGATTTGACCTTTTTGTTGTTTGAGCGAGAATAATTTTGCACCATTCAGTTTTACTATTCAAACTGTACGCTCAGGCATACGTGTATTGCAAGTCAACATACATTAAATAAGTTTGGTAATTGATAAACTATCCTGCAATATAAAAAGGGATTATATGTAGTTATCAATTGAATCACATTACAGTAAATGGTACAGTATTGGACTTGAATATGAATCTCCAAACTGAGGTTCATTCATTGTGACATTCCCTCGGGCAGTGCTCATCCCTGCTGTCTGGAAGCTTACACTGGAGCCGATCTGAAAATTATAGGGGCAGCCCATTTAATAGGACAGCAATAGGAGACACTTAATAATAGGGCTGGGAATCACTGGCTCCCTCACGAGATACATGGCTGCCTATACAATGTTATGATGATATGGTGAAAAAATGTGATAATCTATATATTTCGCATGATACTTTGTGATATGTTGCTGTTGCTGTTTTTAAAGAATCAGACACATTTTGGCAACATGTTCACAAAAAAATTACTAAAAGACCCCAAAAATACTCTTGGTGTTATATATTGATACAGCAGTGCATGATAACAATACTGTATCACCAAATTTAGTATCATGATATTTCCATATTTTTGACCATCCCTGCTTAATAATAGATCTCCTGTTACAAAATGATCCATAAAAATGTTTTACCAATTTCTATAGCAGTTTCTACATTTTGGGGTTAAAAACATCCAGAGCTTTGTACTAGTTAGCTAGTTAGTTAGTTACAAGTTTATCAGCGAAAATGACAACACTGTAGACTGTATATAAAGCAATACATTAATAATATTTAGGATAAGTCAACAGTAAAAGGGTTTACACCTTGAAAAGTATGTTTAAATTGTCAGTGAAGTATCCTGAATGATATTTGGAAGATAATATAACTGCTAATGTCACTGCTGTAACTAAAGCTGCATATAATCCCTATAAATCAAACTTGCTATCCTTGTTTGAAGATTTCAGTCTCACACAAGGAACACACAGGGTACACAAACTACTGTAAAATGCACAATAATTGGCAACAACTCACCTCATGTTGTAGTTCATTGCTGTTCACGCCACTTTAATTTTTTTTTATTTTTAGTCTTAAATTTTGTGCATGTTGGTGTGGCTGGCTCTTAACTGCCTTATCTCATGACTGTATATTGTGAATCGTTTTAATTGTTCAATGTTTTGGATTTGATTTATGTTAAAGGCATAAATGAATCCTCTCTCTGCTTTTATTATTGAAAACTTTTAAAAGATTGTGTTTTGTATCCTGTCTGTACATAGAAAATGTTTGTAACTTAAACATTCCCATAATGTACCTTGCACACGATTCACGAGAAGATACCAGTTGTCACAAGGAACCTATTTTGTTACATACCTTCTTCACGCTTAAAGAAAAACTGGGTTAACTGATTATTACTTAGTCGTCAAGCGTTGACAACTTCAATCATCAGTAACTGTCTTCATGTAATGTCCCCTTTGTGTATCTAAGCATGGTTATAACAGGGGACTGACACCTCCAACACATTTTCCCTTTATTATTTTTAATGCCTTTTATATTTCTTGCCATGTTTTCTAAAAACACCACGGACCTATGTTTTCTCAGTACTGTAAATGGCGAAGGTAATGTCTTTTTGTTCGATGGTAGGGCTCCCCCTACTGGGCAAAGCGTTGCAATACTTTTGTAATAAAGATAAAAGGCTTCAATCACAAACTCAAATTATTCTGTTAAAATGTGACAAACTTTCCAGCCATTTTACAACTGATTATGTTAAAAGCCATTTAAAGCTGGACTGTGTAACTCTTCTCGGTCTGCCATCTGCATCTGCCATCCATAGAGATATTGTTGCTTTCCCTGAAATGTTCCACTGTTGGGCATTAAACTTATCTATCTGCAGTTACACACAATCACAGGTATTTTAATTGCTTAAAAACAATCTTGAAAAACATGTAATCTTACTGTGAGTGAGATTGTCTCTCCACAGATTTGACCTGTCACATTGACCTGTTTCCATGGAGATTCCAGAAAAAGCAGCAACCATGGTGACAAGCAGGTGGCAGGCTCTCCACTCATAAAGTTACGCAGTGCACCTTTAAAAAAATCTACTTTTTCAAAATAAGCACCAATATGACTTGACACCAGACACTTGAATGACACAATGTACTTTTGTGACTGAGAGTTTACTGTGAATTTGAGCATGCTGTGTAGAAGAGAAAAGATAATATTTGCTACTTTTTGAAGCAAAGCCTTATAGAAATGGAACAATATTTTAACCACGTCTCTTAAGAAATTCTCATGCCTTTAAAAAAAAAAATTACATTGCTTCAGTCAGCCAGCAGCATGTATTCTTTTCTCATATATTCACATATGTACAGTCATTTGAATTCTCTGTTTTCATTTTAGGATTATAATTTGAATCCTAATGCTTTAAACTTGTTAAGTGTTTGTCAATGCGCAGTTTTGCCAAGGTACAAGTAAGTCCAGTCCTGGTCATTTGTAATATTTCTGGTATGGTCCATTGAAACTCTGGTGCCAACAGGCTCAGGTGAATGACTAAAAACATGTACTCTGTGTAGTTTTATTTTTGTGGAAACGTGATGTGAAATTTTCAAAACTGTTAATACCACTGAAATGTTTTGAATATGCATCTTTTGGAAATGTATTTTATATTTCAGACATGTGGGTCGAGGTGGCCTTATACAGCTAAAGGACGTTAAGACTGTAACAGACAGTCTTGTTCCTTCAATCCCTTTTTTAATTATGTAAAAACAGCCCTTTCTACACCAATACACACAATCATTTGGAGCTTTTTCTCATCTTTTTTTTTTTCTTTTTTACATGCTTTAAAATAAAAATGCTGGTGTTGAGATGTCAAGTTGTATTCTTTATTTCATAACTTTTCTGTGTAAAGACTAGTTTGAAAAAATATATAAGTCACCTGGAATACAGGATTATACATTGGCCTCTTTTGTCTTCCAAGTTCTAACTCAGCAGAAGAAACAGTAAGTAAAGCACATTGACTATAGTCTATGAATGAGAAATCTTTGTTCTCTAATCAAATGGATTTCACTGTAATTAATAAGCTCTATAATAAATTACATTCCGGGATTAATAGGCTAATTAAATGTGGTGTGCATGAACACATTATATTACATCAACAAAGGTTCTGCCAAAGGTTAGGATATGGATAATGGCTGACAATGTTTTCCAGGTGAGGCAGTCCCTCCTTTCTATAATACGCCTTTGTATATTGCTTCATGCATTAAATGACTAAATTGTCTCCGTAATTATCACATTCCTCATTTTGTTGGTTCTTTAAATGATCAGGTTCAGCGTTTTGAGTACTTTTCACCATTCAAAACATAGGATATTTTGTGGTATTTTCATTATTCTGAAACGCACGGATAAGCCTAATCAATAGCTCCAACCCACCAGAACACCACCAAAACATAGCACTGTCGCAATGAATTTAGATTGAGACTTAGACAGACTTTATTGATTCACAAGGGAAATTACTTGGACACAGTAGTTCACATGTCACATTATACTGCAATAACTTTTACTACTAATACTTCTCAATAAGTAGCAATAAAAAACATCAAGAGATTGGTGTCAATAAGACATAAATTATATAAATGTATTGTAATATAAATACAGTATATCACATTTATACCCAAAAGGTCATAAGGAAACAGTGAAAAGATATGATATGATGACGATGATATGATGATTGACAGAAACACAGGCTTATCTGTTACATAAGGGTGCTTTGTTGTACAGTTGTATGGAGTATGGTATAAATGTAGTCCTGGATCTCTCAATATAGAGATATATATTAAATATATTTTAATTAAATTACAAAGCAAGATTTTTGCAGATAGCCTACAGATGTTTTCCTACAGTGGTTAAAAGTACTGAACACCCCCTCACGTCACGGGGACATCCCACATAAGGCTGCTGGGACCGTCCCACTAATAACACTGCGCGCGCTCCCGTCCACACTTCCACCGAGTAACAGCGCGCACCCGAGAACTTCACTTTTGTTGTGGACACTTTGACAATGAAAACTTTTTGAGAACAGCAGTAAACTTACTCGAAAAATTGGACCAGAAGACACCCTATGACATTTGTTCTACTCTGGAGCGCCGCTTTCACTTTTGTTGGAAATTAAAAGTTTTGTCCAATGAGACGGGCGACATTTTTCTGTCAGGAAGTTTGACTTTTTCGGACGAAACTTTTCACATTGTTTTGACTGGAGAAAGACCTGATCGGAGAGAACTACTATATTTGCTAGTGTTTTTGAAGCCTAAGTCAACTCGCTTATCGTTAACAACTGCTTAATATAATAGTTATCGTACTAATCAGTGTTTTTTGTTGATGAATTTTACATCTAAAGTTCCTATTTTTGAATCGCTTCTAGTTTGCTTCAAATATTTTTACTCAAAGTTTTTATCGGGCTAATTTTGTTAGAAACATTTTGCAATCTGGCTTTGGATGTGTGTAATTTGATGCACTGTTAAATTGTCGCGTTTTTGCTTATTTAGCAGAGTATAAATTACCCAAATATGACAGCAGAACCGAAGAAAATGTGCACACTTAGCAGGAAGAGAGGCTGTTAAAAATCACGGAAATGTGCGGCGAAGTAGCGGTACAGATGGAGTTCGTAGAGGCTATACCGTTGTTATTAATGCTGATTTGAACTTTTTGTCCAGTTTTTATCATGTTTTCGCAAATGTTTTTGAGTTTTCTTCGGCCAAAGATGTTATTCTTTTAGCAGCGACATGTAGCTTCATCGCGGGACTACAGGCTGCTCTTGGGACGTGACTTTTTAGTGTCCTTTGCTCCGAGTTTACAGTAAAGACAGACTCGATGGTCGGAGGATTGGAGCACGGGCACGCGCACGGACCGGTGTGTCTGTGCGCGTGACAGGTGTACCGATGGACGTGAGACTGTGCGTGACCTGCGCAGCTACACAAGCGACCGACGTCAAGGTGAGGGACAGGTATGAGGGATGCAGTTTTACTATGTGTTGTTTACATTGGGCTTCAAAGTGACACATGTGAGATGGTAGAGGAGCTGGTAACTGCCTAAAAGTAAAGTTCTTTTTTTCCAAATTAGGGCACAATATTAAGCTGTAGAAGACTCATTTAATTAACTTTATCTAGAGACATGCAGTAATGATCCATTAGAGGTCACATTACGCAAAATTGACTCTCATGACTTTTAATGTTGTAATGTTGTTACAGCCTCAAAAACATATCTTGACTTGTGTTTTGTTTCATTTACACATGTTTGAGTAATCCTTTTTTATTATCATTAGTCTTTCTGCATCTCCAAATCTCAAAATACTATGTTCCACCTTGTGACATAGTGGTAGTTTTCAAGTTAACAGTTATAATATTATGACACTGAAGCAAGCATATTGTACCTTACTGATGTGCTGTATTTAGTATAGCCTACAATAACAGACACTGATTTAGATTAAGTCATTTACCAAAATAGACCAAAGTGGGAAATAGTGAAAATCAATGTTTTTGAGATTTATAAGTACAATATGATATTATGATATTCTTAAACTCCATCAGAGATGTGCCAGAATGACCTGTAAACTGCATATTATACAATGTAGATATTATTAAAGCCATATTTTTATATGCATATTTGTAACGTAACTTGTACAGATGACTCTGGTCTGATTTACACTGCTGCTGAGTAACTGTTATGACCAAAGCACTTTCACGAGATCAAAGGACAGAAACAGATGTGTCTTCTGCAAAAAATAACTACACAGAGCTTTAGCAGTGAGGTACATGCTCTCATCTTCCTCTGCTTCTCTCTTAGTAACTATACATCTTAAAAGATCAAAGACATTAAAGGTCCACTATATAACTTTTCTGGTGGATGAGCAACAAACTTTTGTGTGGAAAAATATTTCTATTAAAATATCTATTTTTAAAGATCCTGTATTACACTATTTTCTGAACTATGTCATAATATTGTTTCCTCATCACAAACATACATGGAGTTGTGTTTTGTTTCATTCACTCATGCATATTTAGGCTGTGTTCTTCTCTTAAACAGAAAACACTATTCCACCTTGTGATGTCATGTGATAATACAGGAAATGCTCCGCTGTGTTTTTAAAATCCATCCACCTTCACGAGAATTATTTGCAAAATTTTAGCTTTGGAATTGCTAATCTACTGAACTAAATGTAAAAGGTATCTGTTAACTTGAAAACTACTGCTTCATGACATCACAAGGTGGAACAGAGCATTTTGATCTTTGTAGATATGCACAGACTAATAATAAAGGATTACTCAGATGTGTGAATGAAACAAAACACATGGTTTACAAGCTTCCAAGAAACCATTTTGTGTGATATAGGATCTTTAACACTTTTATGTTTACAATAAATATTATATACTTTTAAAGACATTTTTTACAGTGATATATTTAAATGGCACCTTAGCCTGCGGTTTATGAATGGTACCTAGCCACAGTTATGAAAGCATTTGATCCTTGCTGTATTAAAATGCATCATGTCTACTCTGACCTCTGTAAACACACCTGAAACAAGAAGGAGTATGTGCCAGTGGATTTCACTGTAACGTCCAGAGACCAGATGCCCCAAGAGGAGGCGCTGATGCTGGGAAAAACAGGCTCAGACTAAACATGCCCGAGCAGACAGTAAAGGGAGAGGGGGGGAGAAAATCCTGGTAAATCCTGCGACTCCTGGAAATGTGATACAAGGAAAATAAAGTGCATGGTACGACTGAGTGAACCAGGAGCAAACAGGCTGCCTTCAGAGAATTCCCCTCATACCAGCAACTATGTAATTAAAATCAGACGCTAAAAGAGGTTTAACAGTTTATGTTATGAGTGAAATGACCCCCAGTGGAGCAGAGTTGTCCTCATTTGGACCCCACATCAAGATAACAGTGACAGCTCATAAAACTCCAATATCTGGAATGTCATTACTTCATTCACTACTACTATTTAATTAAATGGTGGGATGCCTGTTTATTCTTGTTAAAAAAAAGGCATGTAGTTTTTACAGCAGAGAGTATTTTGTAAAAGCACTGTGCGTTTGCGTACAGCTGTGCACACACCTCATGCATGTGGATATTAATGTTTGTGAGAGCTTGCAAAGTTCTATTTAAATGCACACTTCCGCTTTTTGCAAATTTAAAAGTAGTAGCTGTAACATGTGCTCCTGTTGTTTCAGAAATGTATACTGCATCATAGAAAGTGCTTTTTGTAATTGTGAATACATTTACAATTTTACATTAAGATTGGTACAATAAAACACTATGTCAAGTGATAGTATATAACATTTTGGAGGTAAAAAGTCAGCTGCATGATTCTGTGGAAATAGAAAATGAGAACCATTCTTTGGAACATTCTCAGTGAAAATCAATATGTTTTATGCCAGACTCTGGAATATAAGAACAACATTTCCATGGAAACAAGAAGGAAGTGTGGAGATGTAAAACTGCTCAGATTAAATATGTATTTAGCATAATAAAAGTTGCATTCTGTGACTTTAAAAGGTGCATTGTGTAACTTTTCTAGTGGAGGGTCCGTCAAATGCTTTTCTTCATGGAGATGCTTTATCTGGAATGTTTCATAGTATGGCAGTAAACCTTTCTTTTTTTTTTTGGCTGACACCAAATCAGACCAAGTTACAGGTCAGACCTGTGGAGAGGCATCCCCACTCACAGTCAGAATGTCTGTTTTTCTATATATTTTTGAGCAATACAACCACTGGTAATTGCATAAATGGAAGGCAGAGCTGTTTAATATCATACTGTGGAACATTCCAGGCATATCCATAGAAACAAGGAGAAGATAGGTTTATGAAAATGCTATAGAAATGTCCAGCTTTACTGTACTGCCTTTAAGCCATGGTTTGAATAGAGCTGCAGAAACATGAGCAGCTTGAACATAATGTGTCCACGCTTCACGGAGCACAGACGGACATGCCCAACATTCCTGTGGCCGATTATTACCCAGAAATCAAGGGCCAACGAGCTGCTGCTGACACCCGCGTTTAGTGGTCTTTACGGGTGACCTTTGACCCCTGACAGTTCCACAGAATTGAACTTCACCTCTGCAGTCCCTTGCTCAAACACGTCACCCAGTTATCTTTTATTGTGTTTGTGTTTTCCACTGAAGCTTGAGTTCAGTGCACTGACAGCAGTAGAGTTCATGTGGGGTAACTTCAGAAGGAACAGATTAACACTAGAGCACACTGTTTTTATGGGCCCTGCTGTGTTGGACAGTTGTTGTACATTTACACTGTGATGTTATTGATAAGTAACAGTGCAAATGAATGTAGTGTTTACAGAGAGACTGGAAGTAGCTATTCTAAAGGGAGAGCAGCATTGCCAAGTTTAAAGGTGCACCACGTAACTCTTCAGGTTGGGGGTCTGCTACCATTGAGATACTTTTGCTTTGCCTGTAATGTTCCGTAATATGGTATTAAACATATATAAGATTAATTTATTCACTTATGGGTATTTTTATTGCTCAAAACTACCTTTAAAACATGTCTCTTTACAGAAAACACCTATAAATTGCCCTGGTGGTATCTACTGCTTGTTTCTGTGGATATTGAAAAGTTTAATACCATACTTTGGAATACTGGAGGTAAGGCAATAACATCTCCATGGAGACTGGCAAGCCCTTTACCAGAAAAGTTACACAGTGCTCCTTTTAGGGTCTTGTTGAGTAGTATATAAGTAGGCTCGTAATGAAAAGTTTTGAAAATGCAATGTATTGTAGGAATGTAGAGAGCTGATTATTTTATTGGAATTGATTAGTAAAGAAATAACTGCCAGAAATTTGTTTACATTTATTCAGGAATAATTGTGGTCTATTGTCTTGATTAATAAACTATATTAATTAGGAAAGACAGTAGGATAAAGTGTTATATCACATATTCTCAGGAGACATATGATACAGCAGTCCTATCAAACACTGTGAATAATTTGCCATTTTGACCTATAAGTAACCTACTAGTTTATTATGTAATTAAAGCTGACCTATTTTCTAAAAGTTCAGCTTTAAATGTGCTGAGTCACAAATCCAAGTTTATGTACAGTAACTGAAACACACTGAACTGACCAACTGCATGTTTAAAACCGCTGAAGTATCCTAAACTGCACAGATTACATTTGTTCTTTCTTGAATAGACTTCAGTTCCTCAGTTTATTGGTTCAAATTTGGGGAAGCCTTGTCCATTGAAGGAAATGCCTGAGTTTATATTGCTGTTGATACGAAGCGCCTGTGAACAACAACAATAGGGCTTTGGCAGTGGGTTTTGTAGCTCATGCAGCCCAAGAGTGTAACCATGGTGGATATTTAAAATGGCTCAAACTCAGTCTAAAACATTCTCCCAGTGTATAACTGATGCCAGACTCGATCCAGACCTTTGCAATTGTCTTTCTCTCCCTCGCGTGCACTTCAACCTCTGTGATTTAAACAGGCTGTCCCAGAGGAGAGAGCTTATATAGGTATGATCTGCTGCCGTGAATTAGGCATAAAAAGAAGGGATTTTCCAGTAAATGAGTTTCAGCCCCTCTGTTTAATGTCACTGTAAATCATTTCAGTTGTAACGCAGATTGTAAAAGTTCAGTTATTTTAAATTAGCAATAGGGATGTTATGACGCATTTAAATCAGTGTATATGTCAGATATTTGATGGTTTTGTATTGGTAGCCTATTAGTTGGAAAAGATGAAGTACCAGATCATCAATGATCAATGTTATAAACTTGTTTCCTCATCATAAACACACCTGGAGTTGTGTTTTATTGCATTCACACATGTTTAACACACAGACCCTGCATATTTTGGTTCTTGTGATGTCATGTGACAATACAGGAAATGCTCCACTGTGTTTTTAAACTTTATATACCTTCATTAGAATAATTTGGATAATTTTAGCCTAGGACTTATCAATCTCTTTTAAACAAAAGGTCAAATGGTAGCTGTTAATTTAAAAACTACTGTTTGATGACGTCATAAAGAGGAACAGAGCATTTTTAGATTTGGAGATGTAAATAAGATTAATAATAAAGCATTGCTCACACGCGTGAATGAAACAAAAACAACTCCCAGTATGTTTTTCATGAGGTTACAACATTATAACATGATTTAAAGCTCACAAGAGTCAATTTACAGTATTTTTTTTTGTAATATAGGGCCTTTAAATTTTGCTCACTGCTTCATGCTACAAAATGAACAGTGGATCAAAAGTATTCAAGATATTATATTGCATGACTTATATTTTGCATTAATGTTTCCATATGTCTGTATGGTTCACCTGTGTAACATATTGATCTCAGTTGTAGCCATGGGATGATACTGAATTTTGGTGTCATGATTATCATGGCCAAAATAACTGTGATTAATGATAATCTCATGGTAACGATTATAGTTGCTGACAGTTAAAACATTTTATGGATGTGAATAATTGTTTTAATTTTAATATTATGAATAACTTACACATTTAAACAACTATTATTGTATTGTACTTTGTTGTAAGTGAAAACAACAACTATGTAGAAGAAAACATCATGATAAGTAGCTTTATTCAGCACATTCTAGTGAAATAATGGCGATGATCTTTGTAGTCTGCCCTTTTTATCACGATAAACGCATAACAACACTCATAACAACATGCTAACAGCCTTTCACTACTGACTGAAACTCTTTGAACTCTTCAGTCATAAATCAAATGCTTTTCTCCTGTTTTCTTCTTCAGGGCCGCTGGCATCACAGAGACACATTTTTGGAAAGCTGTGCGATAGACCACCAAGTCCACAAGCAACGGCGCCATGAGTAAGTCTTCTACTGTGATGTGAGACACTAGACAGACCGGGCATGTTTCCCTCACTGCAGCAGATAAAACAAGACATAAATAACTACCCAACTACCACAGTCTGAGGGTGATTTCTGGTGTAGGGTAGCGATCAGCGACAACAGTAGTAGATATAGTAGTTTTAGGTTCAGTCATGGTATGGTATATGGACTATGGCAAAGGTTTCAATATATCGATCTGATACCACTGAGTTTTAAAAAAGGTATTGAAAAAAATATTGTAGTGTGCAGATAAATACATAAATAAACCATACATTGATAAGTATGAATATTGATATTTTTGCATACAAAATATACCAGTCAGTATACATTACCAGTCAAAAGTTTGGACTCTCCCTCTCAAGGTTTTGTCTATATCTTTACAAGTTTCAACATTTGATCAGAAGACATCAAATGTATGAAGTAAGAAAAAACATTAAATAACAATTTTTTGACTGGTAGATCTGGGCAATGGATCACATTTTAACCAAGATTGAAAATTTGTCATTTATTTCTAAGTCGTTCTTTAGGTCCCCGGCCAACACGCTATAGTCTATAAAAGCAGGCGGTTTGAAGCAGAGTGGACCAGACTTTTTGGCTTGACTTCATGTCCCTGTAATTCTTGTTTTGCCAGTGCTTAGGTTTAGCAGTTCATAAGTCAGTTGACTGTCAAACATAATGCTCCTAGAGGTGTTTAAAATGTGCACTTTGAATTGAATTTTGATTTTAAAACCAAAAATTGCAATTCAGTGTTTTTCCAGTAATGGGTGTGTGGGAATGTGTCCTGTGATGTTGTTCCAAACTACACAGTGGGAATGTTTACTCTGTTTGAACTTGTGATGCTGTTTGACAGGACAGTATCAGTGCAGCCATGAGTGATTCATCAAGTACCTTAATAAACAAAAGGCCATGTTGTTTCTCTTACAAACAGTTACGTTGATTGAGTAAAGGTTTTGGTCTGTTTTATAATCACGCTGCAGCAGTATTATATGTATAAATATGATGAATCATGCTGGGGGTTTTCTGCGTGTATGTTTATGGAGGAACGTTGAGCAGTTACCATAATGATACAATGCACACAAATAAAAATCTGAAAACTTTGAGCCTGTGATCAATACGAGTGTTTATGGTCCCATTTACTTGTTTGATGTTCATAAAAAAATGTGACTAACTGCTTGTGAATGCTAGCTTGTGACTGTAATTTTATTAGTTTACTTGTTTAACAGTACAAATCAGTTCACCTGTTGTACGTCTAGCTAAGTCACTTCTTTATGATCCAGTTGTGTTCAAATAAAGCTTAGATTAAAGTCAAACTTGAGTAACAGCGTCAAACAGAGCAGTACCTAGCTAGATTTTAAAATGGATAATATCGTAATTGTTGTTTTGAAGATGTGCGAAAGAGGAATAGTGCTTTTCTCTCCAAAACAACCTAGGTACATTTACTTTCACTTTACACAGCACTTCCTATTATGGTGAAGTGCATGTCTCTTTGTTGCTTCTCTTGTTTATTTACTGTTTTGACCATTAAAGGATAGCTTTGACAGTGATCGCAGTCTTCTTAGTTCCTTTTTTCTCAAATAAAATCAGTTGTAATTTCCAGTCCAGTTCCCAGTCAAACCATAACAACAAAATGCTGCACTTGTCTGTTTTTGTCTCTGCAGATGAGAGGCAGGCGCTTCACTCCATCATGAAGGACCTGGTGGCTCTGCAGATGACTCGTCGACAGCCCATTATGTCCTATGATGTTGGAAAACCAAAGCCCCCTGCTCCCTCTGCTCCAGTCAACAGACAGGTGAGAGGCCAGCGCAGGAACTGAAATTTATTAGAAATGCATCTTCATTAGTCTAACTAAGATGTTTTGTCCGAGACTGAGATTTGAGCTTGTACATGAGCAGGATTTGTGAGTTCAGTAAAAAAAAGATTAGCGAGACTACAGTCAGTTGTCTGCATTATTGAATTAGCATAGACTCATACTGACTTGGGACCACTGATTGGATTCATTTTTTTTTTTAGGCAAGACACAGGCAAGTTTATTTGTATAACACAGTTCGTACACAAAGTAATTTGAAATGCTTCACAGAATAAGAACGGCATTAAAATCTCATTGTTTTAGATGTTTTCAAGTAGGTCTTCTTGTAATAAGGGATTGCATTTTTTTCTTCATTTATTACAGCCCAAACATGTTGGGGCAAAAGGGTGGGTGACTCACAAAAATTTGCATTTCAGTATTTGGGGAATATATCGACAACAATATAAAGACAATATCAATGCAACTCTTCATAAATGAAGTTAAACTTGCTTTTTCGATTTTGCACATTTAGCGCTTGTTAAATCGGCTTGTTTAAGGTGCTATATTATGCTTACTTGGCTCTTGTGAGCTTTAAGCCATGTTATTATGCTGTTACCTCCTCAAAAAGATGCATGGAGTTGTGTTTTGATTCATTCATACATGTTTGAATAATTAGTCTGTCTTCATCTCCAAAGCTCAAAATGCTCTGTTCCACCTTATGATGTCATGTAGTGGTTGTTTTTAAGTTAACATTTACCTTTTACCAGTTGTTTAGTAGTTTAGTTGTTTTTGTTTAGAGATTGACAATGATTCTAAGGAAAAACACAGTGGAGCACTTCTTGTATAACCACATCACAAGGTGGAACCGAGTGTTTTCAGTCTGAGAGAAGAACTCAGCTTAAATATACAGGATTTGTGTGTTAAACATGTGTGAATGAAACAAAACATAACTCCAGGTATGTTTTTGATAGATCTGAATATTGCGTAATATAGGGCATTTAAATTTATCTTTATACACGCTTCTTTGAAAGATTACATTGCATGTTTCTATTTATTTAATTGCACATCTTTTTAAATGTTTGCAGCCTTTTTGATAATACTTTCAGAAGAGCGAATATTTGGTTAGCTTTGGGCTCAGTGTGTGATCTGGAAAGCTTCAAACTTGTATAGATTTAGATAATGAATAAGCCCTAATGGTTTAGCCTATGAATATATCCAGGAAGCCCTTAAACACAGGCCCAGTGTTTGTCTTGGTCCGTCAGCTGAGTTTCTGACTGCGGACCACCACCACAGAAGTATGTAATAGTGTATGGATATTCATGCTGCTAATGGTGCTTCCTTGAGCCCACACGTTTGACTGGAACATACCAAAGAGCATGTCAATTACACACAGCAGTCAACCACAAATATGTTTCTGGTACTGCATAATATTAAATGTACTTGTCAGATATGGTGAGATTGTACTTCTATTTTAACTCCTGGAGAAAAGTGAGAGACCACCCACTTCTGTGTTTTAGTAATGCCACAAAGGTGCATTTGTGAAAGAGCTCTGAGTTAGTATTTGCTATAAAGTACTTCAGGCTTTTGTGGGTATGAGAAATTATATTAAAAGTTCAGATTGCTGACTGTGTTTACACTGGGGACTCTGGTAAATGTTTCTGCCACTTAACTGACCTTAATAACTCCAGAGCACATGTGTGGTGTTAGATAAATTTTATAAAAAAAATAAAAAATAATAATAAAAAGTATAAATATTTTTTTGTGTATTTTGAAGTCTATGTAGTCCAGGTAACAATTAAGATTATTAAAATATGACTACAATTATTATTATTATTATTATTTGCTTTTATTGTTGCAGCCTTATGGCCTTTTCGTAAGATAGCTCTTGAAAAGCTGTTATTTGTAATTTGGGGATACTTAGTGCTACCTAGTTTGATAATTCTGGATTGGAATTTGTCTTCCCGGTTGGACATGGGCAGCAGATGTGTGTACAAATGTGTAATGACATAATAATAACAGTTCAAATACAGTTAAATTTCACTTTCCTCTGATGCACTTTCTCTTCCTCCTATAGGACGACGTGAGGATAAAGTTTGAGTTTTCCGGTGAGAGGAGGTAGGTGGCTGTTTTTGCTCTTTACTAATGGCACTCCATAAAGGTCAGAGGTTGTGTAAACATGTTTCCAGGAGGCACACTGTTCTTGTTAAATGTTCAGTCAAATCAGTCACAAAGAGCCTGTGCTTTTGATTCAGAGTTAGACTGGTATTTGAGTTCAAACTGGGAAAGGGAAGGAGTGTGGTTACGCTGTGGCTGCCAACTTTAACCTCAAATATGCAAGGTGTACTCAGAGGAATCTGGGTAAAACACTATAGTACTTGTATGTTGTCTAGTCATAATAATGAATAGTGTCAACTTAGTCTTCAGTATGTGAGAGGTGGAACAATATTTTGGGGGGTGTAAAGGTGCACTGCGTAACATTTCTAGTGGATGATATGCCACCTGCTTATCGCCATGGAAATGTTACTGCTTTGTCTAGAATGTTCCATAGTATATATTAAACCTATCTATCATAAAGAAGACAAGCAGGTTACACCACTACACTATATTACAAGTCAGATCTGTGGAGAGTCATTCCTGTTCACAGAAGGAATGCACAGTTTAAACAATATAAAGACTGGGTATCATTAAGAAGTTACCGATACGACACATATCTTGATACACATTCCACGATATAAAAATAAAAATCATGTCTGTGATACTAAAAGTGTTTGTTAAACCACTTCTTGTGCAAAGTTAATATAAAACGTTTTAATCATCAGAACAGTGAAAATGTCAATTGTGTTGTGTAAATGAGTTGTGTAAATGAGTTTCCAACAAAACTGTAGCACTGTAATATTATTATTATTTTTTTAAATATACAAAAAAATATTCTTGCCGATATATCGATACAGCAGTCCATGATATTGATATTGTATCATCACATTAAAAGATACAATATATTGATATTTCGATATTTCCCCCTACACCTACATTACACAAGTAATGAATAAATGCTAAACGGATAAGTTTAGTGTCATACCATGGAACATTCCAGGCAAAACAATAACATCTCCATGGAGACAAAAAGGTAGTAGACCTTCCTCCAGGAAAGTTGTGCAGTGCATCTTTATAAAACTTTTTTTTCTCATAATAAGAACTCTTCACACCAAATAAATATATTCTAAAAGAAGAATAGAATAGTAAATTAGGTCTTCTATATTTATTTTGGGCTCCTTTTCTATTCACTAGTAGAAAGATTTTTAGAATCGTTTAGTACTATAAGACTTGAGCTGTGGGGTAATAATAGATGACTCAAAGTAGATGCAGACTAAAGTACATTATGTGTGTTTCATTCATATTTATGTAGTGTAGCTTATGATGATAATGTGTCAGTGATATCAAGTAATTTCATTATCATAATTTTTAATGTTTTCTGTAGCAATCATAGACAGTGAATGGGCATAATTAACCCGCTAACCACCACGTTCCAAAAAGGAAGTGGGCATAGGCGCGCTTCCGACTCCATTGACTCCGTCTCCAATTCAGTTTGTATTGAAAAAACGTCACCCATCTCTTCCTAACTGCTGCTGTCACACTCCTCATTTTGGTCTTAAAATGTTCGCTCTACCTGATCCTGGTGTTTTATTTCACTATTTTGTCTGTAAATCAGTTCCTATTCCTAATATGGGACTTGGGTCCAAATTTGCCCCCTATAACTGCTAGCCTTGTGAGCTTCATTTAAAGCCGAAAGCTATTGGTGATGTCACACTCCCTTAGTCCACTTCTTTATGCACTGGTAGCAATGTTGGGCAGGTCTTTGGAGAGTCAATGTGACGTGTCTGATATGTTTATTTAAGTTTATATATTTATTCTTTTTTTGGTGAAGAATTCTCATGTTCGGGAGGCCAGTGGAGTTTGAGGAAGTCCTGCAGAAAGTTAAGAACGTGTTTGGTCAGCAACTGGAACTACACTATATGAACAATGAGGTAATGAGGCTCTACCATCTTCTCTTCTTTTTTTTTTCAAGGTCTTGTAGTAATCTGTTAAATGAATACATGCACAATTAATCACAAGTTAAAGGGCCCATATTTACGATATTTTCTAATCTATGTTCTGTTGTTTCTTAATCAGAAAGTTGTGTTTTGTTTCGTTCACATATGGTTAACACACGAAGCCTGCAAATTTAGTCTCAAAACCAATCTCTACTGAACAAAAGGTAAAAGGTAGCCGTTAACTTGAAAACCACCATGTTATGACATCACATGGTGTAACAGAGCATTTTGAGCTTTGAGATGTAGACAGCCTAATAATGCAGGATTACATTGTTCATTGTTTGTAAATGAAACAAAACACTTCTCCAGGTATGATTTGTTTTTGATGAGGTAACAACATTATAACATGGCTTAAAGTCTAGAGTCAGTTTTGCGTAATATAGGCCCTTTAATCGAGATAGTGAGATAGTAATTTCTAATGGTCCATGATATGTTTTGGCCTTTATAACCAAGAGGTCTACAGCCAATCCTCTGTCAGTAAAAGCATGTGGTTTGGAGCAGAATTCAGCCTTTAGAGAAAGAAATTTGACAATGTTTATGTTAAATGTCTGACTGAAAAGTCTGTGTTGTTTATGGTCTTGGAATTAATTTTGAAACCATTCATATTGTTTTTTTTATAAACTCTTCAAATCAAATCGAAAATCATGATGAATCAGTACTATAAACTGTGGTTATTTTTTGTCTAGCCTTTCACGAACATAATGCTGTGTTATTATTGGCCCAAGAGCAAAACTATTTGACCAGAAGGTTGTTATCACATGTAAGGATGCTGAACTTGAGTTTGTTTTAATACATCTGTTTATTTAATTGATAAAGGCCCTGAGTGTCAGTTGCCTCTAAAGTAAAAATGTAAACCTATTATCATAGCTTAGAGACAGATAGTGAGTAGTGTTGTCAGGATACTCAAGGTATTCTCGATACTTGATACAGATTTCAATACTCAAATGATAATTTTAAAATCTCTGTTTTAGACAATATTATAATTATAATCTCATACTTGCTTAAATGAGGATCCAGTTTCAGTACTAGTTTCAGTATACATTAGAATTTGATTTTTGATACTTTTAACCACTATAATACTGGGATATACATTGACATTGCCAAATATACTAAATTCTTGGATGTGTAATTGCTGTATTTTGTGTTCTTAGTTGTCAATCCCTCTCAGAAGTCAAGACGACCTGGACAAAGCCGTAGACTTGCTGGACCGGAGCTCCAACATGAAAAGCATTCGTATTTTGCTCCTGACGCCAGAGAACTCCAACGTAAGAAACAAATGCACAAACTATTGGCAACTGATATGAATAGTTTTGGCTGATAAATAAATAGCTTTGGCTGAATAAACTTCTAGAGAACAATAGGAGACCACACATTTTATTATTCTCACAAACTGAAGTGGAGGTACAGAAATAAGCAGTTGTACTGTTGAACTCGGATGTTTCTTCATAGTCATGAGCAGGTTGAGAAACTAGTTCCTCATTATTTTATATTTCATCACTTTGTTCACACAGCTGGTTAGATTCTCCTTTTTGAAGCTATAATCAGAATACCTCAAAATAATTGTAATTCATCCATTAAAGGCATACTATAGTAGATCTACTATTTTATCAGAAAGGGAAACACATTAGCAATTTAAACATAGCAAACTCCTATAATGCATTCTCTCAGGCTCATTCTCAGAACAATATACAGTAGATTTGTCAGCTTGAGTTTGTTTTTACAACACTCATACACAAATCCCCTGTCTGTACTGGCTCAGAAATGTATGTTATAGTATTTTCTATGTTTATTTTCATTATTATTTTGTCTCAGATCACTAATGAATGACTTTCTTTTGTCTCTTCAGTCTGTGTCCTACTCACATCCAGTGCCCTGTAAACAGGTGAGGATCAGTGCCTCACAGTCAACTGGAGACAGCACCATGTACCAGCCTCCAGAGTCCAGGGGGCGCCAGCACTCAACCGGTAATTTCATTACCTAACCCACTAGCGGCCGCGTTGGGGGCGCTACCGGGTCCATCAACTCTATTTCCAATTGACTTAACATTGAAAATTTGTTGCCACTCTCTCTGTAACTGCTGCAGTGAGCCTTGTCATTTTTGTCTTAAAATGTTTGTATTAACCTGCTCTACATGATCCTGGTGTTTGTATTTCTAATATGGAACTCGGCTCCAAATTCCCTCCTATAACTGCTAGCCTTATGAGCTTCATTTGACTGGAGCCGAACTTTATGGGTGACGTCACACTTTCTTAGTCCACTATACAGTCTATACCCAAAAAATAGACAATAGGTCAAATCTTCCAGCTATGGTAATACTGACCAAGACTATCTATCTGACAAGTTGCATTGAAGTTAGAGGACTAAATTCCCCACTGTGACAATAATTACTTATTACTTATTACAACACCTGTACTAGACATTCACAGCTTTTAACACTGAAATATGGAATCTGTGTTTTCACTTCATATTAATACCATGTTGACAGAGCAATTCGTTAAAAATGTATTTACTAGCAATAGACCGGGACAAATAAAAGGCTGCATTAGAACTAAATTTAGAAGATCATGATTTAAACCTGAACATAACAAACGTTCTCCTTAGTATCCTTAGAGGCAAAAATGGAAAATATCTTGCTCATAATTGCCATTACGACATTGCTGTAGATCTTTTTTTTTTTTTTGAGATAACAATAATTCTTGTACATCGTCCTGCCCACCCCTGCTCTTATAGTATTTTAGTCATACAGTTCGTGCCCTTTATGTCACCTCTTCTCAGCCCTCTGCTTACTTGTTCAGAGCTTCCCCTTCGAGCAATGGGTCCTCTTCCTTTTCCTGTTCACCATTACTAGAAGATGGCTACTGGACAACAGCCAATCAGATTACGCTGCGCTATTAGAGTGGCCTGGTTTACACTTTTTCCCCGAAGCCAAATTAACATGGTCGCAGAGGACTTAACCCTTACAGCCAAGATCACATTTAGAACTTCAAGATAAACAACGCAATTAAACACAATTAAAGCGGTAAATTAGTTTTAAAGATATACTATGTAACTTTTATATGCATGTTTTCTATATTGGTGTTATTTCTTTGCCTCGAATGTTCCCCAGTGTAGCATTAAAATTCTCCACTGACATGAAAATTCTCCACTGACTTGAGCCACTGACATGCCATTAGGCTTAGGTACCGGTCAAGTTATTTCTTTAGAAATAAAAGGTAATTGAATAAAAGTGAGATAGGTTAGTTTAATGCCATACCATGGAGCATTCCAGGCAACGCAATAACATCACCATGGAGAGTAGAAGGTGACAGAAAAGTTACATAGTGCTCTTAAGCTACACATATTTAAAAATTATACTGTACATAAAGGAATGTGTTTTTTTGTGTGCTTTTTCTATCCATTTTCTTCCGCTTTATTCAGGACTGGGTCGTGGAAGCATCATGTTCATATACAAAAAAAAATCCCTAATTCAGAATTTTTATTATTGTTATGTGTTTTTAAATGTCTTTTATGTATCACTCTTATGATGAATGTTGAAAAACTTCTATCACCTGCTGGGACAGATAATAAAGTTGTCTGTCTTATATATCTTTTTTATTTCGTTCTGTCTGATGCCAGGATCCCAGAGCACAGGCCGCAGTTCCCCGCCTCCTGGTTATGTACCCGAACGGCAACAGAGAATCGCTCGCCAAGGCTCCTACACCTCCATCAACAGTGAAGGAGAGTTCATCCCCGAGACCAGCGACCAATGTGTGAGTGCAAACTGTCTCATGAAAGGAGGGCTAATGTGGACATATCAAACCATAGTGCCAGAGTGCAAGTGTAAACCTCAAACTTTTACCTGCATCAAGAAAGCTACCTAGTACACCTTTAAATTTTATATGTATTCCAATAATTAATAATAATTAATAACTATAATTATTGTATTATTTTAAAGGGCTTATATTACACAAAACTGACTCTTATGAGCATTCACACTTGTTTGAGTAACCCTTTATTATTAGTCTGTCTACATCTCTAAAACTCAAAATGCTCTGTTCCACCGTGTGATGTCATATAGTGGTAGTTTTCAACAGTTACCTTTAATTTAGATTGGTAAGTCCAAGGCTGAAATCATCCATCTAGTGAATGTGTATGGAATTAATGTTTGTGAAAAGAACTCAGCCTAAATTTGCAAAGTGTGTTGTGCATTAAACATGTGTGAATGAAACAAAACACAACTCCTGATTTGCTTTTGACATGAAAACAGCTTTATAATGTAGATGAGAGAATAGTATAGCATGGGCCTTTTAAAATTAGGTATCCAACCTTAAGTTAAGTTCTTTACTTAACAGTGTCATAACAATGTGTTTTACTACATTTACATTTAACTGTGTAGCCAGATAGAATGTATTTATTTATTTTAAGTAAGAGTTGTTAACACATGTATCTGTATCTATAGATTAGAGTTACCCTCCTCATGTTCCACAGGTGATGGATCCTTGGAGCAGTGCCGAAAACTCTGTCTCTGGAAGTTGTCAGTCTTTGGACAGCAGCTCAGACAGGTCAGCGCCAAAAACAAACACAAGTTCTGTTTACTCTAGTTCTTCTTTTATGCTGAAATGAAGTAATTCAGTGAAATAAATGTTTGTGTTTTTTGGTTAGCCCGTCATTGAGGAAATCCAGAATGCACCGGGCCAAGAGCTATCCCGACAACAGACTGGAATGCTCAGGTGGGACATACACAACCTCTGGAAATTTAGTTGTTTTTAGAATATAAAGGTTGCATTCATGACAGTATTTGATGTTATGATTTCAGAGAGAGGGCTGGTGCCTAAATAACTGTATTGGTGATTCATTGCTGAAGTAGGACTGTGTGTCTTTAGTTGATCGATTATATCAGTGATATCTTAGTTGAATAAAAAGTTTTATTATTCAACTAATTATTATAGAATTCAGGAGTTTATTCTGCCTTTTTACATGTAAATACCTAGTTTTCCTATACGTTTCTGTATAACTATGTATTTTTGCATGAAGTCCTGTGAGTAGTCATGTGGTGTGGTTTGGGTCCGATGTTTGGTCTCACAATAGAATTACCTAATAGCTGGTCTGCTTTTGCCACACCTCTTTTGTCAACTAATCGATGCACCGGGCATGTCTTTAGTCAAACAAGATTTTTTTGTTGACTGCTAATCAATTTCACCTTTTATATTTTTATGTTTAGACCGGGAGAATCATGTGTATGACAGAATTGTGGGTAAAGGAGGCACATATCCACGGAGGTACCATGTTTCTGTTCATCATAAAGACCACAGTGAAGGTATAAACTTAACACTGTATTTACTGCAAGTCTGTCTCTGTCTTTCAAATCATAATACTGTTTTTTTAATGTCTTGTGGCAGGTCGGCGGACATTTCCTCGAATACGGCGTCCACAGGGAAACCTCTTCACCCTGGTGCCGTCGCGGAGGTCGCTCAATGGTAGCGAGGAGAGTTTAGGCAGCTGGCAGCTAGTGGACCCTCAGGGCAGGCTCCGCCCACAAGAACGAACGGTTAACCATAAATGTTAGTATCTAGTCTGCTGGGGTTTTTTTTATGTAACATCATAAAGCATAAAGTAAAAAGTGTTTTTATTATAACAATGTTGACTTCAGTCAGACTTGAAGATTATCTAGTTGAAGGGTCATTAAAGTCCCACCATGTAACTTTCTGTTTCTGTTTCACTGAAAAACTGCACTGAATAGTTCATTAAGCCCTGTTTGAGATAATTAATTCACATAAACATGTGTCTGTGCATTTTGTTTACACAGCTCCCAGTGCTCCGGTGACCTGGCGCAGAGGGAAGCTCTTGGGTCAGGGCGCGTTTGGACAGGTCTATCTGTGCTACGATGTAGACACTGGACGAGAACTGGCCGCTAAACAGGTCCAGTTTGACCCCGACAGTCCAGAAACAAGCAAGGTATGACCTAATGAATGCTTTGACTTAGAGGTAATAGAAATATTGAAATGTGAGGAATTGTGGGTGAGAATATTGATACGATTTGCAGTGACATAATGCTGGGGGTGTTCTATATGTATCTCTATGGCTGAATGTTCAGGAGTTCATGGTGACACAATGCACAGATTAACAAACATTGCCAAAAGGTTGTAAGATAGAAAAGTCAAGAAAAAATGCAAAATGGATTTAAACAACACATTTTCAGGAGCAGGTGAAGTGTTCATAGTCCTCTTTAGGTGTTTGATTTTCAACAAAAAGAAAACTAACTGAGCGCTTGCTTGTGACTGTAATGTTATTTGAGAGGGTCTTGTTCAGTACAAATCAGCTCACCTGTTGTAGTTCCAGCTAAGTTAGTTCTTTATGGTCAGACTGTGTTAAAACAAAGCTCAGTTTAATGTTTAACAAAGCCACAGACAGAGCATGCCTACAGTTAGCATCCCACTGCCAGGAAATCTTGATGATATCAGCTGCAAAGTATCTGCTGTTGCTGTTTTGACTGTTTTCCACACTGCACAAATACAAACAAGGCCCTTAGTTTATTCATGGGTTTCACAATGATGAGAAATTAGCACAGTTGCCATAGTATGCCAAAATATTAGATCTTTTAAATGGGAAAAAGTCCTCAAAATGTGGCATAGGCTATAACAGGAAGCTGCTGAAATAGCCCCTGTTCTATTGTACATTTTACACAATTGTTGTTGTTGTTGTTGTGTCCATGGAGGTCACTCAAGGATAAACTCAACCCGGATGTTGTGTACTGTAGTGTCTATTATAGATATTTTTAGCTTTATCCTGGAGAAACATCAACATTTTTACAAATATATTTACTATGCAATAGTTTTCAGCTGGCATTTTATTTGAACACTCAAAGCAGAGGTGGTTACTGCTTTAGTCCTTTTTAAATATAATAACTGTACTTCTCAAAGTTTTCCAGCAACTTTTACTCCATCTTTAGTAATATAGTTTACAGTTTAACAGTACTCCTACTTGAATAAACGTTTTGATGACTCTTCCTTCTGTGAGTAAGTAAGATAAACTTTATGTTGCCAATATTAAACATTTTTTGGTTCTTGCATTTTGTACTAAGAGTATTTGGCTACTCTACCCACCTCTGACTCAAAGTTGCCCTGAGGCTGACGTGAGATGAGATGTGGCTGCTAACCTCACTTACTCACACACCTTACCCTTGTGTACACTTGTAGAAATAATCTTTGTTAGTGGCGCATTCTTGGTTTGTAGATCATTGATGGAGGTTCAGAATATTTCCAGAACCAGAGTGACATCAGTACAGTATTTTTGACATGTGATTCTGTTGAAGTCTAAACACAGGAATGCAGTTGTCATCTTAATGAAGTAATCAGTTACTTCATCGATGCTTTGTCTTTTCACGCTTGGATTACACTTCAAGCTGTATGATATTTTGACACAGTGTTGTGGTATGTTTATCCAATCCGACTTGAACATAGCTTCCTGAATGCCTCTGGGAAAACATGTGCTGTCTCTGCCTGTGTCTTAAACAGCACATGTTGTGGCTACAGTGATATTACCCCACAACATCTTAACACAGAGATGTTTCATGGTTGTTGATCTCCTATAATGACTGAATTGATCTACTACAATGAGTAGGGATACACCGATCCAGGTTTTTCAGTTCAAATACCAATAACAATACTATGGCTTGAAGTATGACTTGACTACTGTAGGAATTGAAAATGGCTTTTTTCTCTCAAACCACAGTCATCTTATGAGAACATTTATTTGATTGTGTTATGCAACTGTTATGTATCCTGCAAGTAACTACTGAATAACTTTATATGACTTAAAGTTAAAATATCATGAGATGTTCTGGGCCTACGTGAGTCAGTAAAGAGTCCACCAGGATATTGGTATCAAGGAACTGAGACCCGATACAGGAACTGATATTCTATACCAATATCGGTGCATCCTTAATAATGACATCAAGAACTGAAATTCTGATCAACAAATATTCAATATAAGGCCATATATGTGTAGTCAAAAAACAAAGATAATAAAATCCAAGGCTTTTAAATGTTCAGTTTGTTTATAAAAAATAACTAGACTTTCTTACATCATGGCTGTCACACACAGAAAATTTGCACCAATATATTTCAGCCTTTTGGTGGTTTTCAGATTTTAGAATGTGATGATGGCAAAAGACAGATTCTCCTATTGATAAAATTGTACTTTGCCCTGAAGTATCCAAAAGGTAAATTCACAAATGTTGAACCTGATCATTTCTACTTGTGACTGGACCCAAGAATTCACTGTATTACAACCAACATCTACATTTTAACAATATTAATTTTAGCTGCCCCCATCTGTATTAAATAATATTGACCTATAAAATGTCCTGGTGGCATTTAAAACCCAGATTAGCTTTAATTTTATTCTGTATCCAGAATTTAGCATCAGATGATTTTGTTACCTGTTGCTGCTTTTATTTTAAAAAGAGTCTCTGGATTTGGAGGATGTTTCATTCTTTGGTTATAAATTTGTTTGTAAAATACTTGACCCTATCAAAGCAAAGGCAAATTGAAATGATAAATGTTTTTAAATCCCTCTCTGTTACATTTCTGTGCAGGAAGTCAGTGCTCTGGAGTGTGAAATCCAGTTGCTGAAAAACCTACATCATGATCGCATAGTGCAGTATTACGGCTGTTTGAGGGACCACTGTGAGAAGACCCTCACTATTTTTATGGAGTACATGCCTGGAGTGAGTCCTGCTGATCTCAAATGTCTATTATTACGGCTGTGGATTGTGTCAAAATGTAAAAAATTGTATATTTCCTCTCTGCAGGGATCAGTGAAAGACCAGCTGAAGGCTTATGGAGCTCTGACTGAAAATGTGACTCGGAAATACACCAGACAAATCCTGGAGGGCATGTCCTATCTCCATAGCAACATGATTGTGCACAGAGACATCAAAGGTAGCACTTATGTAATGTATTTACATTATAAATAGGGTATGTACACTTAATAAAGATTGAGATTCAGTCATGTCTGTTTGTCAGTGATATGCCTCTTTTTAATTGGAGTGGTCTACAGCCAGTCCTCATATTTTAAATGAATCCAGGAGAGGTGGCAAAAAGACTGAAATATGAACTGAGAAATTAATAAATGAATACAAGAATCACATTTCAGAACATGTTTGTACAGACCTAAATTACAGAGTGAGTCATTTTTAAACAGAATAAGACAGGATGCTAAGCTCTTTGTCAAGGAAAATATGGTGCTTAAAAACTTGTAGCCTCCTCTAGACCTAAATAAGAGCACCTACGATTTGGGTCGGTTCCATCCCCGGACAAATAATAGACAAGAGCGTGTAAAAGCTATGCTAAATCTAAATGTAATTCTGGCACAATTTGAAGTGAAGGAAATATGTAATGTTGATAACTTGTACTCCAAAATTCAGACTGTGTAGACAGTGTAACAGAAACCATTGTTAATTTCTGATTTGTTTGTCTTTCAGGTGCCAACATCCTGCGTGATTCCGTGGGTAATGTGAAGCTGGGGGACTTTGGAGCCAGTAAGAGGCTTCAGACCATTTGTATGTCGGGCACTGGGATCCGCTCTGTGACTGGTACCCCCTACTGGATGAGCCCGGAAGTGATCAGCGGAGAGGGCTATGGCAGAAAGGCAGATGTCTGGTCAGGCTTGTCAACAAGTTTATATACATATTACATGTTACTTATTACACTGACAGTGTTCCATAGCATGAGGAAAAACTACAACTTCCTAGCATTTAGCATTTGGATTTGTTGACCCTTGTTAATTATTAAGAAGTGTGTATAGTCCTATTATCACTTTGGAGGCTTTCAGTTTGAAATGATGCATTATGCTACAATCTGATGGGTAAAATCTTTCAGTAAACCACTAAAAAGCCATCTGCAGTATGTAACCCACTGTAATCACTCTCCCACACACAGAACAAGCTACATCTAAACATACTCTTATGCAATCCAAGTGAGAGCCAGTGAATGATGTGGTTGGCTGTCAGCCAGTCAGACAGGTCTTAACAGAGACTGGTATGTTCAAAAAGGCTACGTGACATTTTTGAACCCTGTGTGTATGACCTGGAGTCTGTTTTTTTATTTATTTTTTAAAATAATTTCAAATAGGTACAGAGCAGTGGGCCTCGAAGATAGGGTATAGGTGAAAACAAATATTTTCAGAGCAGTCAAGCCTCCAATGGTGGACAATACAGGATTACTCAAACATGGATGACTCAAGCTAAATACAACTTTGACAAAGATAATGATGACGGGACACAATTATAACATGCCTAATAACTTGGAGGCATATGGTGTAAATAAACTCAATATTATCCATGTTATCCAATGTTTCACCATAATCGACATTTAGTAGTAGTAGTAGGACTTGTTTGTATTAACAGAACTTGATGCAAACATTCCCATAAAACTATGACCGAAGGGATTTAGGCTGAAGTGAACCCACTTACGAATGAGCCTGTCAGGAAAGAACAAAAAACAACTTGATGGATAGAACAAAACAATCATGACAATCAGTAGCTGAGTGTACAGTCATACTCTCTTCCAATTTCAACATTTAAGACACAGTAATAAATGACCCATTCCTATCTACAACATTTATCCTATGCCTTAGCCTTCTGCATTTTTATCTTCTTTCAAGATATGGTAATAAATAATTCTATAAGGCCGTTATTGAACTTTCTCCATGTGTTTTATAGGAGTCTTGGCTGCACGGTGGTGGAGATGTTGACCGAGAAGCCTCCCTGGGCTGAATATGAAGCCATGGCAGCCATTTTCAAGATTGCTACTCAGCCCACCAAGCCGCTGCTGCCTCTGCACTGCTCTGAACAGGCCCGGGACTTTATCCACTACATTTTTGTGGAGGCCAAGCTGAGGCCCAGTGCGGAGGAGCTGCTCAGACACCCTTTCTCCCACATACTGTGCTGAAAGCTGCCGGTGTTATGAACTCCAAACACAGCAGCAGTATCAGTTGTAGCTGCCATGAAATCCAAACAGAGCCAGACGTCAGTGTTATCCGCGGTCTGTCTGCTTCTCGAGACACTGCAGAGATGTTTTTGTTGACAGCAGGAGTCAACAATCGACTTCTACAAATGTACTTCCGAATGTCACCACCAGAGGGAAACGCAAGCTCACTGTTGTTTGGTGTTGTGAAATACAGGACCACATAATTTGTGCAAAGCTAAAGCAGTTAAAATCCAGAATTTTCACTCATGATGCATTTCAGAGCTCTATACGTGTTTTTCAAAATACATTCTTAGATTAGAAGCACCACCATTAGAGCTTCATTAAAAAAGTAAAGATCCCCTGTGAATTGTATAATATGCCATTTCTCACATTGGTTTGTGGTTGAGCTGTAGAATTGTCCTTTGTGGATTGGATTGTGATTAATTAGAGAAAGTTTGAAAGACACTGTACTGCTAGTCCTTTCAGAATGAGAAGGTATCAGTTACAACAAGGCATTTAAGTAAGTTGACCAGTGGAAACTAGGGTTAGTCAAAAAGGAAGTATCAGTAGGTTAAGTATTAATTATTAAGTTGGGAAGAGAGTTGAGTGGTCTTGGATGTAATGTAGTGTATCTCCACCCAGAATGTAAGCTTTCAGATTGTGATGCTAAGTGCCCCTCAGAGCATTGAGATGCTGTCACTACCAGCTCAAGTGACTTCAGTTGTATTTGTCTCTGTTTGAATGGTGAGCATACAGTATGTTCATACAGTCACTACAGTTATAGTAAATAGCTTAAGGTGGGGTTTTCCGTATTTTCCATCTCATTCAAATTTTCAGTATTGGTCATATAAAAAGCCCTGACTGTGCAGTAATAGGACCTCAAAAGGGCTCTAGTTTTGTTGCAGAGGCCAATGAGTTAATTTAAAATGAATGCTGTTTTGTTTTGTTCTTGTTTTTGTTTTTTTTTAATAAGAGGGCCACTGAAAATCAGATGCACTTTCATATTCATTTTTCAAATGTGAACAATGTTCTTTTTATTTATGTACCGCTAATTACTCCTCTTCAAGCAAAGCAAAATATATATTTTTATATGCAAACAATCTAGTAATACTTGCAGTGTTGTTAGATTTAAATGTGTTAAAGCAACTGGTTTTGCAGACAATACATAATATCATATAAAATCTTGAATGCTTGGCATATGGATCCTGGCTGGCCTGGCTATTATCCATTTCAAAATAATGAGTATTCTCCTGTAAGTAATTTATAACAAAGCATGTTTATTTGACCAATTATATAAACTGGACAGGAGCCAAGGACAGCTAAGAGTCAATTGACCAAGTGAAAAGACGACTTTGGTTTTCCTAAGGTTTACTCATTTTCATCATTTCATTTTGCTATGAAAACTTTGGGAAAAGCAAATGAAAAAGAATAGTTGACTAGTATAATCTATGACAGGACTTGCAGTGCAATGTTGAATATATCAAAATAGTGTTACATAAAGAAAAGCTTGTGGCTACTACTACAGTTTAATATGAAAGCTATTTTAGAGACTTTTTCTCCCAAGCCAATAAATAAAATTGAAAAAAAAAAAAAAAAGAGGCTGTCCATTCTTTTGACTAAGTTCTTTTAAGTAATGTTTAAGAAATTTTAGATGGCGTGAATGGAACTGAAATTTACAGTAACTGGATGGTCGCACATGTTTTTGTTAAATCATAAAATGGCGTCGAAATGACGGCTTGGCTGACAGGAACACATCTGGCATGCATTTTGTTACAGGGTCTTCTTGATTCACAGCGATTAAAACTATAAATGCCCCTGAATCATCAACAAAACACACTTACTACTTACTGATACTGAATCTGTATTTGTAAGTATAATGGTTATACCTGTTGCATTGCGTTTCAAGAATGCGCACATATTGATTCGCGAAAAGATGCTAATTTAGATGCTATTAGGCTAGCTTAGCTGCAGAGAGCAAAACATAAAAGGCTTAACATTGCTGTTAGAGGGAGAAACGATAAAATGTACAAACATGAATCTAGATATATATTTGATTTAATATTACAAATAACCATTTATTAGTGTTAGAGTAATAAAGTACTTTCTTCAGCCTTGCTGTAGCTTGTTGAGTACGGGCTCTTGGGCTGCCTGATCTGTTCTAGGGTGTTGCTATGGCTGTTGATCTCTGCCGTACGCTGATTGGTCCAAAATTCGTAAGGCTCGATCTTAACCAATCAGCAATAAGTTCGCGAGGCCGCTTTCGCAGTCTGTGGCTCGAGACATCAAGAGGCCACGAAAAGATAAAAGATAATGATTCACTTTTAGAGAAAAATCTGCTTATTTATTCACATAGGTACGTACTTACGTGTGTTATTTTACACTGAAAGTTGATCGATACTTAAGATTAAGGAAGACTTTTAATAATGAGTAAATTTGGTCAAGAAGAGGCTTCTTGAAGTAAAGACGTTAGATACAATTTGTTGATAATAGTGCTTCAAAGCTTTTCATAATTATATACTTTTATGCTTTTAAGTGTTTTAAAATCATTTCAAACTATTTTTCAGAACATTTAATTAAGTTAAGAATCAAGTTCACGGCCCTCCGAATGGCATTTGAAGGGGATCAGGGCATTATGGCGAATACACTTTTTCCTAGTTATAAGCGTAAGGTAAGATTTTTCACCACAAGAATGAAATTATGTGAATGTTTGATTAATTTTATTTAAAACATGTATCAAATACCTATTTACCTATTTTTAAGTTTATAAAGAAATGAAAATGTGTATAATATGTCTATACTTGGATTTTTAAGTTATAGATGAAATATACAAATGTGTTTCATGTTTTAGGCCAGTTTGGACATGGGCTGTGGAAGCAATGGATGTATGCCGTTCATTTCCATCCCTGGCTTCAATTTGCAGGAACCAAACAATGAGTCCTGTGTTCCCTGGTCTCACAATGCTCACGATGATCCCTATGAACTTATTTACTGTGCCCAGAACCACCTCAAAAACAGGTACAGGGTGCTTATTATAGTGATGTTATGCTTAATCATCTAGGATAATTCAACCAAGTTTTATAGAAAATTCATATTTACTATTACCATACATTGAATGATTATTTTGTTTATGGCAATTTCATGGTTAACTGACTAAACGATTTTGTAGGAATTCTGATTTCTGCATTATTATGATTGCAAGAACTATTAAATTTGAGGTTTATTTTTTTTACAATTCACAGTTCATAGTGCACATTTTTAAAACAGGAGTCCAGGATGTCCTAGAGCATTATCATTTCAGAGAAGACTGAATTATCATGGAATGATCAACCTTAATATAAGAATTAAATGCATTTAAGTCCCTGTGTATGAAGATCTAAACTACCAGGAGAAACAGGTTATGCAAGACTATAGACAGTATATATAAATGGACATAGCTAACACACTAACCGCTCCGTTCCAAATAGGAAGTTCGCATGCGGGCGCTTCCGGCTCCTTCTGGCCCAATGACTTACATTTGAATAATATGGCCTTTCTCGCTGTGACTGCTGTATTGAGCCATTTTAGTCTTAAAATGTTTTATCTCACTCTACATGAACCTGTTTCTTTTTTTTAGCTGCTATCTTGCCCATTAAAAAAATTGTATTCCTAATATAGGGCCTGGCTTCAAATTTGCCTCTGTAACCACCAGCATCGCAAGCTTTATTTGAGAGTAGCTGAACGCTATGGGTGACATCACACTTGCTTAATCCACTGTTTTATACAATCTGTGTGCAAGACCCCACGGAGACAGAGATGTATTTGGACCCTCTGATTTTACTGATGATGGAGAGACTGAGCTGCAGGGACTTGTCTCCAATATTTTAGATGAAACCGATTCAAAGGACGTCCTTTGTAGCAACGGGTGTGTATATTTTTGTCTCCCTGTCTGAAAATTGGAGAGAAATTTGTTGTTTTTGTTTAAGAATTATTCTTGTTTGAGAATATAATATATTTTACATAATAATTCTTTAATATATTTTACTCTTTTAGAAGCCTGGGTCAGCGCAGCAACAATATCTGGTCTCCAAAAATACTGCGAGATGAACTGCTTCAGCTTTTTCAGTCTGAGGCCAAAACTCAATACAACTCAAACTTTGCCCCAAACACTTCGCGTGATGTTTTTGGGAAAACACAGGCACAGGGCATGAATAAAGAGACTGAAGATATTTTTGTGCCCCCGTCTAATGGCTTCAACAGCAATCAACAAATGCTTTTTAAGTTACCAAATGGAGTCCAGAATAGCTTTTCCCAGTCTCAAAAACCACCTCCTGGTCTCCCTCTCCCACATAACATGGCCAACAGCTACCTGCAGCTGCAACCAAATAATTATGAAAACATGCCAGTCAGTAAGGACAGAGCAAATGGGGAAAATATTGGAAACTTCCCTGATCTTAGCCACGTTTTTAGACCTCAGAATGACATGAACTGTAGCAATTTGCTATACGAAGACCACTACAATCAAGCCATGGACAAACCAGGGGGCGGCAATGAGCAATACACCTCTCAAGATCTCAACCAGCTCGTCAGCAGTTTCCAGTCCTTTGTTACCAGTGAGCAAGACAGTACAGAGTTTTCAAATGTGCGTGAAAGCAACATGGCTCACAGATGGGAGAGTCCAAAAACCTTTACGCAAGGTAACAGTTTTGTGCAGATACAAGGACAGCTAGGTACAGATTTTGGGAGAGAGAAAAGCAATGCAACAAGGAAACAACTGTTCAAGCGGGATTCACTTCAAGATCTGTCAACCTACAACTTGCAAAATACAGCGGAGTACTCACCTCAACAGAAGCTCTCAATGGGGAATGACAGTAAGATATTAGAAAGAGACAATAGTATGCACTCTTTTGCCATGAACCACAATCCACAGCATCAGGTCCAGCAGAGCCCGCTAAAGTTCAAACCACAAATGCAGAAGGATAAGAATTTTGGTGATACTTGCGCCATGAGAGCTCCAACCGGTGAATTCCTACCAGAAGAGAAGCAGACAGCTTTGTCCCAAAACAGTTTCTATAATCGGCCTCCAAGATTCGACAGAGAAAATAACAAGATCTCTCAGCAGTTCATGCCACTTGTGTACGCCGGGAATGACCCAAGAAGATGCTCTAGTCAGATACCAAATGCCAACTTTAGTCCCAGAGGTTCACAGGTGTACAGAGGAGGTGTCCCAGATATGGATATGGCTAAAATGGTGTCGACCTATGAGATGTCAGGATTGAACGGACTGAATGGATTGAATGGTTTGAACGGCATCATGAGCAGAAGAGGAGAAAGCACCTATCATGGCATGTCCTCCACCCTTAGCCCCGCCCCCATGACCCAAGGGGAACTCACGCTCCAGCTGCACTACTACCTGGACGAGTGCTATGACCAGTGGAAGAGTTTAGAGAAGGAGAGGAAGAGGGTGAGGAAAAATTACTATCATATATATAGTATAAAGCCCCATTCACTTATGAAGCCTGACCCAGGATTTTACCTGCATTTTCTCAGAACAGCCCACAACTGATTTTTGATTGACAAGTTCCCTGGCAAATTACTGGAAATATGTTTCCTTGGTTACAAACTTGGTTTAAATGTTCATAAATCTTCATAGATTAAAATACTGCAAATATCCGCAATATGAATGATAGAAAAGATGGTAACAGTTATATTATAAAATACACAAGTTTACATACTGTTACCACAAACTTAAGTATAGCTTAGCTTAGCCATTGATGAATCTGGTTACTACAGAAATACAAGAACTACTACAAAAATTACTTAAGTTGCCACTAGACAGTCTTTGTGAGGCTATAGAGACACATTAATTACAGTTACAGAAAAACAGCTCTGTGCTCTCTATTCATTTACAATTTAGGGTACTCTGCTTACTTATATGCCATGCGTTTTACATAATCATTTGTTTTTGGTATTTCAGACAGAGATTGTCATCTCAAAGACATTCCTGCGCAAACGGACCTCAGCACTCCCAAACTCCAGTCTGCCTAAAACTCCTCCAAACCCCACCAGAGTCGACCTCCTCATCGTCAACCAGATGAGAGAAGAAGCCCGGGTGAGAGGCAGCCATGTTTCTGTTGTCAAACTTGAACCCAAAAAATATGAGTATCATGGCAAGGGAGGCCTATTCAAGATTATACTGTTGTGTATTTCTGTATTTTTTTCTAATTTGTACAGATATGGGAAATTGTTCAAACAATGAAACATATAATTTAAATAAGGCATTATTATTAAATGTACATGCCCCAACAAAATTGAAACAATATTGGCCAGTAGAATGTGTAATTCTATGTGAAACTGAACAACAATTGAGATACAGTGGAATGGCCCTCACGATCACCTGACTTAAACCACATAGAACACCTCTGGGATATTATGTTTTGGTCTATCAGACACTGCCAGGTCGCTCCTCAGACTCTACAGGAGCTCAGACCTCACACAGATCTGGGAGGACATCCCATAAGACACCATCCGCGGTCTCATTAGGAGCATGCCGCGACATTGTCAAACATGCACGCAAGCAGGTGGGGGCCATGCAAGAGATTGAGAAGCATTTTGAGCTGCAGATTTTAATGGTGTATATAAAATTAATCCCTCTGTAGGCTGAAAATTGTATTTCCATTAAAAGTGATTGCATCCTTTTGTTCCTAAGACATTGCCTTATCCATATTTGTATAGATGTAGAGCATTTATTTCACATTGACATCTGATGTGTGTTCTTTTAATGTTTTTGAGCAATATATTAATGTATTAAGTCTGATCTTTATTGTAGGTGTCTTCGCTTTTGAAAAAGATGGAGTGTCTGTCCAATGTCTCCCTCAGTGCCAATATCTATGGCGCCCTGAGCAAGCACCACATGGCCATCTGCGTGACCACCGCCCGCCATAAAGAAGAGATCCTCAACCCGTCTCAGAACCAGCGAGGGCATTTCAGTGAGGACAGAGGTATTCAACACTCAGGTTAAAATGAGGTTTGGTTCAAGTGGGGAAAGAACCGAAGTTAAGAATCTAATGCTGGTTCTATGAATCCCAGATGACCTCCAGCTTGATTGTGTGAAGATAGTCATTCAGTGCTTTTATTACCACTCTCTGGTGGTCAGTAGGGATGAAATGAAAGCTGGATCCATTGCAGTTAAAAAGTAGTGTCACTCAAAGGGCTGTAAAATTGATTTTATTTACCTACAAGTCTCGCTGGCCAAGCCTGCAGCTGGATTGCCACAAATCAAAACTTTCCTGTGCAAATAAACCATGGTGCTCCCAAATTCCAGTCCGGATAAGCTTTATATAATTATTGTGTTGAATACTTGCGGTGAATAATTTCACTGAAAGCAGAGGTCAAACTGTTAACCTCGTAATTAGAGGAAGAGTGCTACATTATAGAAAGCTTAAGTCAGTGTTTAAACCAAGTTCCCCTCACATAAAGACAAATGTACCATAACTGTGTTTCAGATACCATGTTGCTGATGATTGCACTGAAGGATCTGGTTGCCACCACCTATAAACTGCGCAAGGCTCTGTGTTGTGCGCTGCAGATCACCCTCCAAAAACCTGTCCTGAGACCAGAGCCCCCTGTCTGCGAGGGGGAGCAGGACGACAATGGCCCTGCTCCTTTTGAGAAGTACTTCTACAGGTCATAGGAGCCACGTTACTGCAGTCTGCCTTATATTAGTATATGTCCCTTCTGAAGATACTAAATGATTATTGAAGTAACATTTTATCTGCAAAGCAGCGAACACTGCAGAACATGAGTTGTAAATTTGACTAAAGTGAAACTTTAGCGTGTACCAGGTGGTTGATTTTGGATGTCGTAAAAATGGATGAAATGTGTTGATTCTAAAGGTAATTTCAGAAATTAGTGTCTGGTCCAAATTCTTTCAAATGTTTATATTTAAGGACACTATTTATGTAGGAAACATGACTTACTTGCTTTATTTATTTATTGTAACCTTATTCATCTCCTTCACTTGACCAAAAATCAAATCATTCAACATTAATTTCCCAAATGTGCCTGAGTTATGTGATGGTTTGAGTTTGATGAAGCCATTTCAAAAAAGGTTCAGTGGTTTAATATTAATCACAAATTTAGAGTGTCGTCTTTATCAACTGCATTTTCTAAAAGTGAATTTTGTCACTACTTTCAGCATTTGTTTGTATTTGTCTCAGCTTTTGGGAATATTGATTTAGTAGGTAGAACATGTTTTTAATTGTCTAATTTACAGTTAGTATTTTACCTTTCCTATCATTGTATTAAAGCTAAGTTGGCAGTAGCCCTGCGCCACATCAAAGTATTTATAAAACAATTTGGTAATTATTGCTGTATCTGCTTTGTTCCACATGTTCATGTCTTGTATTTGTTCTGAAACCACATTTTAAAATAAATCAGACAAGTGTAGTGTCTGTTTCTGCTTTATTGAAAAAGTATGTGATTCCCATAGTAAACATACAAATTATGATACATTTTTGAGGTATAATTTTCAATCATAAAAGTAAATGATGAATTTTGTCATACCAAAAACTTTTGCATTAATTTCATGTTCATTGGAAAATGCTTTTTTTTCCTCACATTTCAACACAGTTTTGTAGGTTTGTAGCTAAATCTGCAATCTGTAACATCCTTATTTGAACTTCTGAAATGTCTAGAGATCTGCTTTAAAGACCTTTTTTAAACTGCTGCTCTAGAAAGGAAACTGAGCTTCTTGTGTTAACTATTTATAATCGTAACCATCACCAGATTTGAATTTTGACCCCCAAATGTGTATAGTGGTGGAAATAAAAATTAAATAAAACGTTTTCATCTTAATATATAACTATTTGCAGTATCTGTGCCTCATTCTGCCTTTGAATAGGCTCTAGACATTAGTTGTTTAGCAATGAGACGGTGTAATCCTACATTCAAGGAGTGATTCAATGTAGAGAAGGTTTCATCTGTGGTTATGCAATGAAGACATTTTGGCTACATTATTTCTTTTGATGCATTTAGTGGTCAGTGTCTCAGTGATTTCTACAGTGAAAAATCAGAGATCTGTCCCATAACCAGGATTTTCCATTTAACCAAAGCATTGTTACTGTCAAACTGTGAACCAAATCAACAACTAAAAAAGCATTTCTTAACTGTTCATTTAAAATAGTAAATTCATTGACTTTATTTCCAAATACCAACCCTGACAGTTTCCGGAAAAGACCTTCTAAATGTTCTGATCAGTGTAAACAGACACAAAGATAAACATGTAGAGATCAACGAAGTAGGGTACTTGTAGTGACATATTAAAAGGTGTCAAAATCTTAAAAAGGTCTTTGTTTTTTATTTTGAGATTTGATAACAAAATCTTCCCACATTGAAAGTGTCCATTTTGTTGGTTTTATCTCTTGCGCTCTCCCTTCTGTGTGCGTTTCTTCTCCTTCTCTTTGCGGTCCTGCTTGGCCAGTTTGTCCTTCTCTCTCTGCATCTTGTCCGTTTCCTTCTTCTTCTGCGCGTCCTCACGAGCCTGGTCTCTCTTCTGCTTCTGTCTGTTCAGAACCTCCTCCACGTTGGTGTTTCTGAATAAAGCTGGAGCCACGAGTGAAGGGAAAATGACAAAATATACACCCTGCCCAGATGGGATTTTCTTAAATCATATCAAGATTTTCTTAAAAATCCATAGCTCAAATTTAGATGACACTACAACATTCTACAGGCCAATAATTTTTGTAAAAGTTGTTAAAATGAAAAAAAAAAAAAAAACTGTCTCAGAAAAACAATCGTCCCTCATAGTACTATCTATAGTGTGAATATGTACTGCTAGCCTTTTTTACACTCTTAAATCTTATCATCTGTTTTCACAAAGGTGCATAATGTAACTTTTCTGGTGAAAGGGGGGTCAATGTCTCCCACATGTTACTGCATCACTTGGAATGTTTCAATGTGTGGCATTAAACTTATCTATATTGCATTTATTATTTTACAGGTGTTTGTAATTGCTCCAAACTCCCTTAAAATCTGTCTTCTTACAGTAAGCAGGGTCACCTCTCCACAGATGTGGCCTGTGACTTGGCCTCGTGGCGTCACATCCTTGTTTATATGGAGTTAGATCATCATTCTAGGCAAAGCAATAACATCTCCATGGAGACAAATAGCATAAAAGTTACATAGTATTCCTTTAAGAAGTGTCTCAGATAAATAAACTCATATTTCAAAAGGATACATTTATCATTTCCAGGAATTGGGTTTGCAGTGGCTGCCTCCTCTTCTTCCCCTTCAGTGGAGTTTGTTAAGGAAACATACAAACGAGATGCTGCATTAAAACAAATGACCCTAAATGTAACTTTATTGCTTGGAGTTTCAGTGAAGGATATTCCTCTTCGTCTGTCACATTGGCATACTGGGCCAGCAGAGCTTCTTTCCTCTTTTTGGACTCTTCAGAAACCTCCTTTTGTTTCACCACAATTTGAGCCTGTTTTTCTATGAGGCTCGCAATGGCCTGTACTTCCACTGTGGATAACAACAAAGCACAGTTTAATAACGTAATGCTATAAGGGAAATTACATGGCCAATATACAGTAGCTCAATACCCTGGTAATATGATGAAAAAATATACGTGATTACATTTTTTCTCATATTTATTCTTTTTTTTTGTTACATTTTATTTTGTCCCATTAAAAAGAAATAAAAACGGCATTCACTGTTAATTTTCCGAACATAAACTGCAGAAATTTAATCAGACATTTTTATACATCTCCCTCAATAGTCTGAACTGCTATAAACCACATTCATTTACTGACAGAGGATTCTCCACTAATAAGCACCAAAAGCACATTGTTGAATATTAGAAATTACTGAATCTCAGTCAATAGAAATGATATTAATTGCAAAGCCCTATGTACCATTCTAAAAGATTTCCTTACCTACACAACACATCCACTGAAAAAAAAAAATAAAAATACAAGGACCTAAATAAACCTACCATCTTCTCCATCCTTTTTTGCAGAGTTTCGACTGCAAAAGTCCGTCCACTGTTTGATGATCTGTTTACAAATGTCATCTACAGTATCTTCTTCCTGTAGATAAAAATACAATATAATTTAAGTACAATGATTATACCTCAGGCCACATAAGGAGTCAGTTGAGCAGTATATTAGTAATCGATAAAAGTTTTGAAAGGTTCTGCTGCTTGTGTACTAGACTATTTTCTTTTAAGGATGCACTATGTCACTTTTTGGTTGGGGCTTCATCACCTGCTTGTTTCTATGGTTGTGCAATTGTTCTGCCTGGAATGTTCCACAGTATGACATTAAACAGCTCTACCTGACATTTATTCAGTTACAGGTGGCTTGAGTGCCTTGAAGGTGGAAAAGCTCTGAAAAAATGTGACCATTTACCATTTTACTACTGAAGAACACCTAGAAAACCTAAGCGGGGTTGCCTCTCTACAGATCAGACCTGTCTTCGTGAACATAGAAAGTTTAATACCACACTGTGTGAAACATTCCAGACAAAGCAATAACATCTCCATGAAGAAAAGCATTTGACAGACCGTCCACTAGAAATGTTACATAATGTATCTTTATTAATATGAGGCCAAATGCTGCCAAGTTATGAGGGCAGCATTTGGCACAACACACACTCCAATTACCATCCTCTGTTCTCTCTTTGATAAATATTATAGACAGCAATAAAGCCCAGTTTAGCAATTACTACCATAAATAAACACCAGACTGAGCAGAAGTACTTTGCATTGTGAAATTCATAGAAGTCATACCTCATCTTAGAAAGCCATTTACAGTGCACACGTTCTTGTTATCAGCGCTATCGATCTACACAAACGGTTTTATGAGCAAAACATAAACAAATAAATAAATCACTAGTAATTTCTTATCATTAGTAATGCACTGTATAATACTTGTTGTTGATGTACACCCCTCCCTCCCCAAAATAAATAATATATAAATACACATATAAAACCGTTAGATTAAAAGATGCATTGTGTGACTTTTCTGGTGGAGGGTCTGTTTCTATAGTTATGTCATTGCAGTCTGGAATGTTCCACACTATTAGGGCTGGGTATCATTAAGAAGTTGCCGATACGATATATACCTCGATACACAGGCCACGATACGATACATATGTCGATACAGTGCACTTTCGATTCGATGTGATATATTTCAAATCGATTCGATACAGTTCAATAAAAAATTAAGGCTAAATCATAGCTGTGATACTAAAAGTGTTTGTTAAACCACTTCTTGTGCAAAGTTCATATGAAACACAAACATTTTAATCCTCAAAACAGAGTCAAAATGTCAAATGTGTTGCATAAATGAGTTTCCTTTCACTCCACAAGCAACAAAACTGTAGCACTGTAACAAAATAATTTAGTAAAACACACGTAAAAATACTCTTGGTGATATATCGATACAGTAGTCCACGATATCGATACTGTATCATCACATTAAACGATACAATATATCGATATTCCGATATTTTTGCACACCCCTACACAGTATGACATTAAAAAGATTTACCTTATATTTATTCAATTACAGGTGGTTTTAAAGCTCAAAAATGCCTAGTAAAACAGGCATTGACTATAAGCGGGGTCGCCTCTCCATAGATCTGACCTGCAACTTGGCCCAGTTTGGTCTCCATGAAGATAGAAAGGTTTAATGCCATACTGTGAAACATTCCAGATAAACAATATAAAATAACATCCCCGTGGACAAAAGCATTAACGAACCCTCCACTAGAAAAGTTACACAATGCAGCTTTAAACTTCAAGTGTAGTTTCTGAGTTATTCCATAGAAACAGATCTGATGTCAGTTGTGTGGATTGTCAGCTGAGACAGACAGCAACACATGAAGCCAGAGCCGGGCGGCGGCTAACACACGCATGCCGCCAGATATTCACCAAAAACGCGGATAAAATGCCCTGTAGCGCGTCCTCCTTCTCCTCGTCGCTCTCTTCTTCCTGCAGGACCCCTAAAATATACGCTCCGTACACCTCCCGGTCCACTTCGAGCGAGTCCAGCCGCTCATTTAGCCAGCTTTCAAACTCCCCGGTGCTGGACGAGGGCGCCGCCATCTTGGCCCGTTCGGGTCCTTCGAGGCATGCGGCTGCCCTTCAAATTTCCCTGGTTAATTTTATTATTTATATTATATATATATATATATATATATATATATATATATATATATATATATATATATATATATATATATATATATATATATATATATATATATATATATATATATATATATATATATATATATTTATAGTCCAAAGGCATGTTTCACTGGGATTTACTTAGTCTATAATTGTTGTGGTTTCCAAGAGAAAGAGAGTTCTTCTATATTATAATTTATATAGAGAGTACATTTAATTAAACTAAACCTTTACATTTACCAGGTTATTGGTGTACTTAGATTTTTATTTTTATTTTTATACAGTATATGCCTGTATTTAAATATAATAGACACATTTTTATTAAAGAGAATGGAGATACTTGCGCTGTGTGTCGTTCTCTTTATATAGCTAACAATTAATGGTAGCCTAATTTAGCATATGACTTTAAATCTCTCATCTTTGAATAACTGTGGAGTAGGCCCATAGATCTATAATAAGAACTTCCATCAGTAGGTCTCGTGTAGAAGCCCAAAGTATCCAACAGAGGGCAGTAATGCACTACAGGAGCTCAAACGTATCCATTCCCACGTTTGATAAAAATAAATACAAACAGTTGACTACTGAACGAATGAATGAATCATTCATTCAAGATGTGTGTAATATGGTAATAATAGGCCAAAATATTTAGGCTTTTTTCTAGTTTATTCAGTTTGTGATTCCTTAGGTCTACTCCAATGCAGCAGGTTGTTAATAAAGGCTAACCTATTTCACAAAACGGTCTGATGTCAAAGAATTTGTCTAAAAGCGGAAAATCTTTGCTAAATCTTTAATGACTGAAGCGTGCCTCATTAAATTTCACTTCTGCAGCCAAAAGAGTGAGTGTGAGGCTGTGTTGGCAGTCACAGTCGACCTGGGACAGAGCCACAAATCCCAAAAGTTGGTGATTGAAAATTAGAGTTGGAATCTCCCGCAGTTTACAGAGCCGCTCGTGCACTCACTGTAGGCTCAGGCTCCAGGGACACGCCAGGACTGCTCGAGACTAATTGAAAATTGTCTTCCAAAATAATCAGGATTTATTTTCAAAGCTATTGATCAAATGGAACAACACGGCAAATACATAGTTCAAAGTGACAATAGGTCTATTAAACAGGGCAATTTATAGATGTTTAAAGGGCCTCTAATAATTTGAAAACATGACATCACAAGGTGGTAAAGAGCATTTTGAGCTCTGGAGATATAGACAGAGTAATAATGCAGGATTACTCAGACACGTGTGTATGAAACAAAATACAATTCCAGGTATGTTTTTGAGGTGGTAACAACATTATAACATTACTTAAAGTTCACAAAAGACAGATTTGCTTAATATAGGATCTTTAATTTTGGGCTAGCAGAGATGAATATGAATAAAAGTGCACTGTGTAACTTTTCTGGGAGGTCGTCCACTACCTGCTTGTCTCAGTTAACCTGGCATTGAACGTAGGCCTATGTATCTCCATAGGGACACACAGCACCTCAGTATAGGCCAAGCTGCAGACCAGAAGGGAAGTCTGCTTTAAACAGTTCAGTAATTTAAGGGCAGCAGTTACCAAAATTGGTTTGAAACATTGAAGAGGTTTGTATGAAACTGTATAGACCCTTTTAAATCCTGTCACCAGAATGTTCAAAATTCTGTAAAGAAGACTGGAGGCATAATGAAGCAGATAATTTATTTTCAATGATTAAGTGATTAACAGATTTAAATGCGATGGTTTAGTTTTACTACCATTTTGAATTTCCAAGATGCACAGTTTAGTTTATTTGCTTCTCTGTTAAGAAGGATGGACAAAAAATATTTGTAACCTTAAAATAAATAATAATAATTTCTACAATATCTTCTTAAATAACGTAAATGTTTTTAAACAGGGCTCTGATATGACTCACATGTATCCAAGTGGTTTTCATTTGCCAACATTTTTTCATCCTTTGTGATATTCTGAAGTTGATTCCAGATTTCCCATTGAAATCACATTATGTTCCACTTCACTTTTGCCTTTGCTTTTGTTTACAAGTTTTTAAAGGGTCTACAGCGGGTGTCTCTCAGATTCAACACTCAATTTTACGTTCATATTCGGTCTTGTCCACTGGGTGGCGGTAGAGGACAGACTCTACAGCTCCTCGTGACTGGTGAAATGACAGTGGTTTGAACTTGTTTCTTTCTTCTTCTTTTTTTGTAAATTTCTGCATGTGCATCAGAAGTACTTGGTTGAAATAGTCTTAAGCAGAGCTGGATCCCTCTCCTGCCAGATGTGTCTCTCCTGTCTCATTTCACTCACACCACAGCTGTTTGAAAATTACGCTGTGTTTTTGTGTGAATTGCCTGGTGCAGTTTTCAGAGAACCTTTTGTCAAAATGAGATGGCTATGAGTCCTTTGGGTATGCAACCTAAAATCTCCAGATGTCAACATTTCATGGAACAATACTGAAGGAGATTTCTAAACTAAAAATCCACATTTATTTGTTTGTTTTAGGAACTGGGTCTCAATGTTCTTTCAAATTACTATGATCAGTGATTTGTGTCAGTTGTATCACACATGGACAGGTCCAATCAGAAACTTTAACCAAAAACTAGCTCTAAAGTCCTGAAAACTCATCTCTTTAAAACCACCTTTCTTAATTATTACAATTTTTTTTGTTATTTCTGTTTGTCTGTTTGTCTCTTAATTTAAAGCATCTTTGGATATCTTGAAAACCACTTTTCAAGTGTTATGTATTATTATTAAACACTGAACATATTACAAATTAAATTGAAAATAAAAAAGGATAAGTATAAGTATATCAATTACTTTTATCACCATACAACTGCACCATATGTTAGAGGACCTCATGTCAAAGCTATTTTCATCTTTGCACTGTCTTCCCTTACCTCACCTCTTGTAAATAACACATTTACTTTTTACTTTTATCTGCACATATACAAATCTGCATTCTTAATTGACTTTTTTCATGTTTACTTTGCTTTAAATTATTTGTTTTATTACTGTACATTAATTCTGCTATTGTCATTAAAACCATAGTGAGCTACCTCCTTGTATAATATTCCTTGTGTCTTTTTAGCTTCCTTGCACTTTAAATATAAACTATATTATGATGTCACTTGGACAAACCCATGTTCCTGTCTTCACTCCTGTTTTAAATATGAGCTTCCATTGGCTCCTCCACAGACCGTCTTCTCTGCTGCTGCCCAGAGAGAGAGACACTGCAGGGGGCACATGCAGAGCAGTTTCTCTCTATTTTAGAATACCACCTTCTCCATCACACAAATGCTTGTTCACAAGTTCAGCTCAGCTCAGGTTGAGTTGTCAAGATGGAAAATTAGGCCTGAGTTTCATCTTTATAATTGCAGATTAATTGTTTAACTTGTGGGGTATAACATATGAGACTGGATATTCATGTGTATGTGGTGGCAGGGGTCCTTTCTGTCTGTCTTTTTGTTTATTTACTGACTTTCTGCAGTTTATTTATTTATTTGGTTTTTTATTTGACAGGGACAGTGCAGTCATACATAGTCACAGTCAGAGCATGCAGCTGATGTGAGTGTGTAGCTTGTGTAGTGCTAATTCTCAGCTCTTGTCCCTGGTTGGTATTTTCCCAACACCAAACAGTTCAAACAGTTTAAAGCACATTTTTTACACACATTTTTGCAACAGTGCAGTTTCACATTACAGATATTTTCCACATTCAAACATGTATTCACATGCACACACAGTATAATACAAAACAATACAGGTGAGTAATACTGAGCAGGGTTGGACTGGGAACAAAATTCAGCCCAGTTTGAGCCTGGTATTGGGTACAACTTTGGTTTGTTTTTAACCAGTACTTGAGCCTTGAGGTGAACAGCTTAAACTATCTTATACACTGTTGAATGCCAGTAGACTGGAACCAAGAAGACGTTTGGAAAGATGCGATTACAACTTCCCAGGCCCAGTTTTCTTCATCTACATGTCATTATAGCATTCAGTTATGTTCAGCTAATCAACCATACATCAGTTTTCATCATTTCCCCACTGACACACAATTCTGAGTGCACTGGGTACATGCAGTTAGAAGAGATGAGGGCTCCAAATTCAAGATGATTCCAAACAGCCCATACGTCTTCATTTTAACGCTGATCACATTTAGCGTATTTTTCAGACTATAAGTCGCTCTGGAGTATAAGTCGCACCAGCCAAAAAATGCGTAATTAAGAAGAAAAAACATATATAAGTCGCAACAGACTATAAGGCTACGTTCAGACTGCAGCCTGAAGTGACCCAAATCCGATTTTTTGGCCCCTATGTGACCTGCATCTGATCTTTTAATGACAGTCTAAACTACACAGATCCATTTTTTCAAATGCGACCCAGGACACTTGGATATGTGCTCCTGAAACCGATACATATCCAATCTTTTGACATGCGACTTCAGTCTGAACGGCCAAAGCGCATTCATCCGACCTACAATTTATCAACAAGACACAAACGTCACTATTCTGAAGTAGGCGAAAATTGTTAATGAACTTCGTGTCACTGAAGCAAAGCACATCACCACTCACCACTCTTGGCTACGTCTCCGTATTCACACGTTACTTTCAACGGATGATGCTGCCACTGCCCCACAAAACACCACCGCCAAAAACCTCGTCCTTCTCCTTCTCAATCTCCTCCTTAAAACAAGTAAGTTGTACATGTTCTGGCTCCGGTACGAGAGGAACTTTAAAATCGCCAGGTGCTCAATGCTCGCACGAGCCTCTCTGTATAAACACAGAGCATGCTCACCACAGTTGATGTCATCGTGTCCTCCGGTGTGCATGCGGGACACTTTTGGGCTGTTTAATGTTCACAGTGGAGATCATACAAGTCACATTTAATTGGAAATGTGAACGGCTTCGCAAAAACAGATTTCACAAAAAAATCCAAATTGAGCGTTAAGCCCTGCAGTCTGAAC